CATGCTCTACTGACTGAGCCAGCCAGGCGTAGAATTCCCTTACTTATTCTGGATATGAATCCCTTATCAGGTATGTGATTTGTGAGTATTTTTTCCGGGCTGTGTGGTTTCACTCTGGTGGTGATACGCTTCCGTGCACAATGGATATTTACGGTTATAATCCGTAATATCCTACTTGATTTATTTCTTGCTCTCATTCTTCCAGCGCTGGCCCCCGGGAGTTCTGTCAGGTGGCTCGGTTTACTTTTATGACATTACTTTCTGCTTTCAAGTTATAGTGCTTCTCTTTTTTTTAATTAAAAAATTTTTTTTAACAATCATTCATTTTTTCAGAGACAGACAGCATGAGCGAGGGAGGGGCAGAGAGAGAGGCAGCCCCAGGTTCTGAGCTACCAGGACTGAGCCCGACGCGGGGCTTGAACTGTGAGATCGTGACCTGCGCCGAACTCAGATGCTCAGCCGACTGAGCCGCCAGGCGCCCCTCACATCACATCTTCATCTCAGTCGCCAGCCCTGGCCATTCCTGAGCAGCGCTGGCATCTCACACCTGCATCCCTTGCTACCTGCCACGGCGCGTGGTCCAGGGCTTGGGTGTGTTTTTACTCCCCTTTTCAGGCTCCCTTGTGGACCCTGAAACAAAGAGTCAAGACGAGGGCACGTGGGTTTTCTTGGGGGTACAGGAAGTAAGGGGTGGTGCGGGGCGTTCCTGAGCGCAGCACGCCGGGGCCCTGGGGACACTGGGTCACAGGCGCGCACCATTGCCGGTGGCCAAGGAGGCTGGCTGCAGGCACCGCGCAGGGTGCAGGTCCCAGACTGTGGCCTGCCCTGTGCCGGCTTAGGAAGCCACGGGCAGGAGCGGGAAGAAGGGGGGCTTTGAGAACCCCTGTGCTCCAGCCCCTCAGCGGAGCCCCTGGGACTGCCCGTGCCCCCAGCTCCTGCCAGCACAGCCCATCGTCTCTTCATCCTCCGCTGCCCTTGAGCAGCTATGCTGCACCGTGACCCTGGGTGCTGGCCCGGTGGCTCGGAGGGGAGGTGGTCCCGATGGGGACAAATGCTGCCCGGGGGGCAGGGGTGATGAGGCCTCCGCATTCAGTTTCAGCGGGGGTGGGGGTGGGGTGGGAGGGCAGCTCTCACAGGGAGAGGTGAGCAAAGCCTGCGGGGGCGGACTGTTCAGAAGGACACCCACCCGGATGTCCCCACCCACACGCCGAGGTCCCAGCTCTCCCTAACGAGGTCCTGACGACGGTCAGGGGCTGGGCAGCGGCCGCCTGGTCTCTGGCCCCTCCTGCCCCATCGCCACAGTGACAGCCGTGGCAGGTGGGCCACCAGGGAGGCGTGTGGGCCCGGCCCCAGGGTGCCTTGTTGCAGCCGGGCAGCGAGGAATCCATTTGCAATACCCCTCCTTGCGGAGTGGGGCCTCTGGAAGCTGAGCCCGAGATGGAATTTGGGTACAAGCTCTGCACAAGGGGTCAGTCCCAGAGGCAGGGAGGGGGCAGGGCCGGTGAGGGAAGTCGCTGTGCAGCGGGAAGCCTGGCCAGCCACGGGGACTCGGCAGCAAAATCCCTTCCGAGGCTCCACCCGCCCCCCCGCGCCCCCCCCACGGCGGCACAGCTGGTCTGCGCCTGAGGCCCCTGGAGGGGTGGGGGCCTTGTGACGTCTTCCCACTGGGGACCCCCGGGCAGTGTCTACGGGCTTCTTCTCCCTTCCAGGAAGGGGTCACTGGCGGGGAGGGACACACGCAGTCTTTCCCCACCGCCCGGCCTGGGCTTTCAGTCTGAGTTCAGCTGCTCTCTTCAGTTGCCCGTGCCTCCTTCCGGACGTGCCCGGAGGAAACACCGTGTGCCCTGCGGTTGGGGGGTGGCCCCTTGGAGTGCACTGCCCTCACTGGCCTTCTGTATCAGTCAGGGACCTCCAGAAAAACAGACCAGTGAGTGTGGGCAGTGGGAGAGAGTGAGGGACAGGGGTGATTTAAGGAATTGGCCCCAAGCGTGCTGATTGTGGGGCAGTGAGTGCAGCTGGAGACCCAGGAAGGCGCTGACGTTGCAGCTCGAACCCAGAGGCCGCCTGGAGCAGAATTTCCTCCTCCTCTGGGGAGCTCAGTCTTTTTCTCATAAGGCCTTCAACTGATCGGATGAGGCCCACCCACATCATGAGGGTCATCTGCTTTATTCAAAGTCTGGATTTAAATGTTAATCACATCTAAGAAACCTTCACGCTCTTTCTGTCCAGTGGAATAGCATTCCACCTTAAAAAGGAGGAAATGCTGGCACCTGCTTCAGCATGGGTGGACACTCAGGACATCATGTTCATGAAATGACAAATGACAGAATGACAAATCCTGAATAAGCCCACTCATATGAAGAACGTGCAGGAGTCGGATCCACGGAGATGGGTCCATGGTGGGTGCCAGGGGTTAGGGGGTTAGTGTTTAATGAGGTATCAGTTTGGGAAGATGGAAAGTTCTGGAGACTGACAGTGGGGACGGTCGTACAGCAGTGTGAATGTGCTTAATGCTCTTTAGCTGTGCGCTCACAAACGGTTAGGATGGTAACTTTCGTGTGTGCGCGTGTGTTCATGTGCATGTGTGGGTACCAAAAATTAAAGAAAAAATCATGGTATGCAATAGATGTTCAGTACATGTCAGTTCCCCTTTCTGAGAAATAGTTTCGATCAGCTTTACCTCCGTGATCAACATGTGCGAACCAAGCCCTTTGCGGCAGCGCCTGGGCTAGTGTCTGACGACCCTGGGTCGCGCAGCCCTGGCGAGAGCGCGAAGTCGAGCGTCGCGCATCCTGCCCTGAGGCCCGACTCTGTCCCCGTGGGCTTCCTTCCTCACACGTGGTTTGGGCTCATAGACGTGACTGGCTTCGTGGGAAAGTTGTTGTACTCCGGACCCCTGTTCTAGTGTGAGATTTTCAAGGGAGGGGGTGGGGAAGTCCTTCCTCATCATCGCAGAGCCTGGAGCCAGAGGGCCAGAGCGCGCGGCGGGGGCAGAGGGGGCACCGCCCCCCAGGCCCGGAGCCAGCACTTCCTGCAGCCCGGTCCCCGGGGCCGCTGGTCTTGTGCCCGCCGCAGCCATCCTGGCCGTCAGCACAAATCTCGCAGCCTCAGCAGCTGGCCTGAGCCTCAGCGGGCAGCGTCCCAGAGGCCCGGAGCCCAGCTGGCAGGGCCGGCGCCCCTCACCTGCTCAGACCCGTCCGGCAGTCGTGGCCCGGGGCAGGTGTGTGTCCGTGTGACTGCGGGGGCCATGCACGGGGAAGAGGGGAACGAGGCGGGGGCCCATCTGTGACTGCCGCTGGGGGGGCAGCTGGACGCAGGGATGGGAGGCGTCCCCTCGGCCCGGGGGGCTCTAACCAGCACCCGCCAGCCTCTGAGCCCCCGCTCCCGTCCTGGGTGGGAGCGAGGGGGCCCCGGGTGGAGGCGAGGGCGGGCGTGTGTCTGAGGCCGAGCCCACGCATGCAGGTGTGTGTGCCGCTGAGCGACTCGTCACCCAGCAGCCTGGCCCCGAGGCCCCTTGGGAGCCAGCGTTGCTGTTCTGAGTGGAAGGGAGGTCAGGTTTCTCGGAGAAGCCCCAGAATAGCGCCTGGCTGATAGCTCAGGGGAAACCTGGCCCGGCCCCCTGGTCCCGTCTGTCTCACCCCCTCTTGCCCCCACCCCACGTCCAGCTGTCTCCTCCCCGGGCCGCAGCCCCCCAGCCCCTTCTGCACAGGGTGGGGAGGGGGTTCCCGAGTGATGCGTTCTCCCAGCCTGTCTTCAGAGCGCCCGCAAAGCGTCTGGCCGCAGGGATAGGAGGCGTCACCCGGCCGGGGTCGGCCTTCGGGAAGAACCCTCACAAGTGAAGCGACGACAGGCTGAGTGAGCGTCCTGAGGCAGAACTGTGTGTGTGCGGGGGGGGGGCAGCGGCTGTGGGGAAGATTTGGAGGCTCACATGAAGGGGGAACAGCATGTGCCAATGCTCTGGGCCACCAGTAAGCCCCCTTCCTGCCCTCGGCCCTCAGCCCGCGGTGTCTGTGGTGCTTTGGCCCCAGCGGGCTGAGGCGGGGACAGGGCCTTACCTGGCACCTGAGATCCAAGGGGGAGCTTCAGGGGGAGGGGACGCCCAGGCCAAGGAGGGCCAGGAAGGGGCTTTGTGGGTAAGGGCTGAGCCTGTCCCCAAATAGGGCTGCAGGATCTCCTGGCCATACAAGGCTCTCGGAATCCGGGCCCTGGGGACCCCAGGCAGCTAAAATGCTGCTGACGCTCGGCACCTCGTACCGTGTGCACAGCAGGTCTGGTGCCGCCGAGAAGGGTTCTCCCAGCCACAGACATGGTATGTCCGCTCCGGGCGCCCAGCGGAGCCCCGGGGGGCTGGCTGGGTGGTGGAGCGGGACCTGGGGCCCCCTGGGGCGGGGAGAGGACGGGGACTGCCTCCCAGCACAGGCATGGGTGTGGGTGCGTCCCTGGGAATCCGAGGGAGCAGCTCCGCGAGGCTAGAGGGAAGGGGCGGGGTGGGGGGCCAGGCAGAGCGCGACACCACCCTCGCTCTGGGGGCCGGGACGGGGCAGCCCTTTCTGAAGGTTGCCGCGGGAGTGGCAGGCAGGGCTGTCAGGGGCTGGACCATCCCTGGAAGCAGGCCGGGGTCCTTCTCCCTGAGCCCGCGTGCGCCCCCGTGGGTCCCTCGCCGGCCTCACCCGGTGTCGGGGGCCTGGGCCTGGCCCGGCTGCTGCTCCCTCCCGTGGGGGCCCGAACCTTGGTGTCCCACACCTGGTCTCTGCCTCCTGCGCCCGTCCCTCTACGATGCCTGGCAGAGTCCCCTCACCCCGTGAGACCCCTTGCTTGTGCCACCTTATCCGGAAGCTGCTCTGGGCTGGGGGCCTCCTTTTCTGCCAAAGGCCTCGGTGGGGTGTGCCGGCCGCCCGGACGGGGCGGAGTGCCCTGTGCCGCACGTGCTGGGGCCTCCAATCTCCCTCGGACTGAGGGGCAGAGGGGGCCCTGGCGAAAGTGGGCTGGTGTCCCTGTAGACGGAGCGCCTGACAGCGGAGCAGATCAAGGAGTACAAGGGGGTCTTTGAGATGTTCGACGAGGAGGGCAACGGGGAGGTGAAGACGGGGGAGCTGGAGCGGCTCATGAGCCTGCTGGGCATCAATCCCACCAAGAGCGAGCTGGCTTCCATGGCCAAGGACGTGGACCGAGACAGTGAGGCTGGGCGGGGGGGGCGGGGCGGGGGTCCCCTGTGAGCGTGAGTGGGGAGGGCTGTACCAGCGCCCCCTCCCGCGGCCTGGCCCTCTGCTCCCTGCAGACAAAGGATTCTTCAACTGCGACGGCTTCCTGGCCCTGATGGGGATTTACCGGGAGAAGGCCCAGAACCAGGAAGGCGAGCTGAGGGCGGCCTTCCGGGTCTTCGACAAGGAGGGCAAGGGCTACATCGACTGGGACACGCTCAAGTAGGGCCTGGGGCGGGGCCGGGGGCGGCGCGGGCCAGAGCCCAAGGGGCTGCCACTCAGCGCGGGGCCCCCGCAGGTACGTGCTCATGAACGCGGGCGAGCCCCTCAACGAGGTAGAGGCCGAGCAGATGATGAAGGAGGCCGACAAGGACGGAGACGGAACCATTGACTACGAGGGTGAGTGGGGGGCAGGCCTGGGGGCTGGGCGGCCGGGCCAGGCTGGTGGCTGACCTGTCCCTCCGCGCCCAGAGTTTGTGGCCATGATGACCGGAGAGTCCTTCAAGCTGGTCCAGTAGGAGCAGGTGCTGGGGCCGTGGGAGGCCTGCCCGAAGAAGGCCCGCCTGCCGCCGCCCCCGCTGCGCCCAGCCTGCCCCACCTCTGGCAATAAACACTCCAGGCCGACTCACGTGTGCTTTACTGTCTGTAGCCCAGAAGGTGGGGGGGGGGGGGGCTGACAAGGATGTGGGTCTGGAGCGAGGAGAGGGTTCTCCCTGGGCAGCCATGGTGCGTGGCCCGTCCCTCCCGCTGCCCAGCTCCGGGCTCCAGACAGCAGCCTGAAAGCCAGGCTGGGGGCAGGTTGAAGGCTACCACTCGCCCTGCCTGCCCGCCCGCCTGGGGGGTGGGGGGGGGGGGATGGCCACCCACAGGCCCCTCCCGGAGCTCCTCAGAGGGAGATCACTTAGGTACACATTTTATGCTCTCTCCAAAAAGCTGGGGTGTCACAGGCAGCCCTGAGCCCTGGGGCTGAGGCCTGTGGGGTCAGGGCTGAATGCAGCAGCCTTCATAAGCACATGCACGTGTGTGTGTGTGTGTGTGTGTGTGTGTGTGTGTGTGTGTGTCCAACACAGGGCCAGCCGGCTTGGCTGCCTGGCGTCACACAGCAACGCGGCCAGGGCTGCAGCAATGTGCTGGACGGCTGGCCTTCCCTGGGGAAGGATGGTAGGGTTGTGCTGGGGGGGGGGTCCCTGGCTGCAAGTGCCCTTGCACCGGGTCCCTCTGAGCACGGGGTGGCTGGCAGCATCGGGAGGTTCAAGAGGACTTTCCTCTGCCTTTGAGGGGCACTGGGGCTACAGCCAGGGGTGCTGGCCATTGGAGCCTGGCTCCGGGGGCCCTGCCCATGTCTCTAGGCCTCAGGCCCCAGGGAGAGGACTGGGTCACTAAGAGGGGGGCGGCTCTTGCTGTCTGGGTTTGGCCATCTTGACAGCCTCTTCGTAGGAGGGTGGCAGCTCAGGGGCATACGGGCTGTAGGCAGGAGGGGTCATGGAGTCGAGGTCCAGCTCCCCAAAGGGCAGGGGCAGCCGCGTGCTCAGCGGATACTGCACAGAGCTGTAAGCTGCAGGGAACCAGAGTGGGTTTGTGGGGATGAGTCTGGCTCTCTCTGGGCCCCCCACTCTCCCTCACAAGCACAGTGCAGGCACTCACAAGTCACAGTGCTGTGCACAGTGCTGTCGCTGTCTGTAGGGCTGACCGTCAGGCCGCTTGGCTGAGGTGTTGCCGGCAGGTGTGGCTCGGTGTGTGCCCGCTTCCGGAGGCAGCAGAACCGGACACAACTGGCGGTGACCCCGCACAGCAGCAGCAGAAGGACAGCGAGTAAGATAAGCCTGTGCAGGGAGGAGCAAGACCCCACCACTGGACTGACCCCTGGCCACCGTGCGCCTGCTCCCCAGGGGCAGTGATGGCCCGACTGCCCACAGCAGGACCATGGAGAGGACACAAGAGAACCAGAGGATGCTTCTCCAGCACAGGGACGTTTCACCAGGCCGGAGCCGAGCCCGAGGAGCTGGCCCGTGCTGGCTCTCCCCAGGGCTGGCCACAAATGCCTTGGGCTCACTCCCAGGACACACTGTCCCAGGCCATCTGCACAATCCTGTGCCCAGACCAATGACCATGCTCACGGGGACCTCCTGCAGGGGTGAGGAAGGAGGGGGTGGGAAGTGGGCAAGCAGGCTATGAAAGGAAGCCCAGCCAGGGGCCTGTGTGCCCAGAGCTGTTCGGGGCCGGGGGAGGGCCCACGTGGGAGGCTGCCCTGGTGCTGAGGGCAGGAGGCCCTGGCGACTCAGCCAAGAGGGCGCGGGGCCTGGTGGGCCCGGGCCGGGGAGAACCGTCGGACCCGGCTCGGTGCCGAGACCTCCACTTACCCCACGTGCCACAGGCTGCTCCAGCGGGCCTGGGGCGGGCACCTGCGGGGACGGCGGCACCTGGAGCAGGCGGGGCACCAGCAGGGCTGACTGCCCCGCCCGAGCCTCCCGACAGGGCGGGGCCCGGCCCCGGCTCCCACCCCCCTGACTTACAGGTCCGAGGGGTCGCAGCTGCTGTCCCCGAAGCCCAGCGCCACCTGTGGGGATAAGGGTGAGCCCGGGCCGGGGCGCGCCGAGCGCACACCCGCCCCGCGGCGCCCACGCCCAGCGCCGCCGACCCACCTGCGGCAGCGGCAGGAGCGGCGGCAGCAGTAGGAGCCCAAGGGCGGCCGGCGCCCCCACTACCATGCTCGGCACGGACAGGAAGCCTGCGCCCGCCCGCCGCGCCCCTTTATGGAGGCTCCGCCCCGCGCAAACCCCGCCCCACGGCCGCCGAGCCGCTTCTCGGGGCCCCGCCCCCCCAGGCTCCGCCCAGCGGGGGGCCCGGTCCCGTGGCCACACTCCGGGGCCCCTGTCCTACAGCCCCGCCCACTAGGAACGCCTCCTCTTGAAGCCACGCCCACTGCTGGCCCCGCCCCACGGCCGCGCTCGCCGGGCGTGTCTCCGCCGCGTCTCCCGGCCTGGCGTCCAGGGGCAGCGGAGGTTCGCGCCCTCCGCGCGGTGCGGAGCCCCCGGCCCGGCCCGGCCGGACCTGTCCTGCAGCCGGGCTCGGTGCGGACCGGGCCAGCCTGTTGTGGCCGGGGCTGCGCACCCTCGGAGGGCGGCGGCCAGGACACACGTGGCCCCGCTCACGCCCCGCGGCGCTCAAGGTGATGGATTTCAAGTCAGGACTCGGGCGACCCACGCTTGTTGTTCAGTGGTATTTATTTGGGTGGCACCCTCGGGCGCTCACTACCTGGAGCTGCCCCGGCCGAGCCCACGGTAATCTGACCCTGGCCCTGGAACGCGGCACCCTAGGAGCAAACCACGTTTCAGGCGCGCTTTGCCTTGAGAGCCGTGCTCAACCTAGGGAATGTGGCGTCCGTGGTGTCTGGGCCTGGGGGTCACAGAATGCCTGCCGTCCACTCTGCCAGGAAAGACTGGGGGCCGTTTCTTGCACTTCACCCCTCTTTCTCACCAGGCCAGGTGCACTGGTGGGTTTCCTCTGCCCTCTGCTACGCTGTCGGGTGGTCAGGCTAAGGGAGGACGTCAGGCACGGTGTCTGCCTTGTCCGGGGAGAGCGAGAGGGGCAGCTGCCTTTGCCTGGTCTTTCTTTTTCTTTGTTTTTAAAAATAAATATATTTATTTATTTACTTACTTATTAGAGAGCGTGAGCAGGGGAGGGGCAGAGAGAGAGGGAAAGAGAGAATCCCAAGCAGGCTCTATGCTGTCAGCAAAAAGCCTGATGCAGGGTTTGATCCCACGAATTGTGAAATCTTGACCTGAGCCCAAACCCAATAGTCAGACTGAACATAGTCGGCTCAGTCAACCGACTGAGCCACCCAGGCCCACTTTCCCCTGCCCCCACCTCCCTCCTCCCCTCCCCAGCCTCCACCTTTGACCTTTCTTTTTTTTAATGTTTTTTGTTTGTTTGTTTGTTTTAAATTTCTGAGAGAGAGAAAGAGACACAGTGAGCAGGGGAGGGTCAGAGAGCGAGAGGGAGACACAGAATCTGAAACAGGATCCAGACTCTGAGCTGTCAGCACAGAGCCCGACATGTGGCTCGAACCCACAAACCGTGAGATCATGACCTGAGCTGAAGTCAGACGCTTCACCAACTGAGCCCCCCAGGCGCCCCGACCTTTCTTTTTTTTTTTTTTAAATTTTTTTTATGCTTTATTTATTTCTAAGAGAGAGAGAGAGAGACAGCGTGAGCAGGGGAGGGTCAGAGAGAGAGGGAGTCACAGAAGCAAGCTGCAGCCTCCGAGCTGGCTGTCAGCACAGAGCCCGACGCGGGGCTTGAACCCACGAACCGTGAGATCATGACCTGAGCCAAAGTCGGACGCTTCACCGACTGAGCCACCCAGGCGCCCCACTGACCTTTCTTAATTGCCCTCAAGACATATTCTACATGCATCTCCCCCATTGGAAAGGCTTCCGGGGCGTGGCTCTCCCGCCTGGACTTGCTGGGCTCCTTGATCCTGCTTGATCTTGACCCAGGCTTGCCCAGAAGCTGTCCCACACCTCCAGGATGTGCCATACCTCCGCGCACCTCCAAGGGCCCCTCCAAGGGCCCCTCCTGCCCACCTCGCTCCAGACAGGCTGGCTAAGTTTGGCTCTCGGCCATCTTTCCACCTCGTCCTCGTCGCCTTCACTGCCTTGGGAGGCCCAGCTCAGGACGGGAGGGAGGAGGATGGACAGATCCAGCCAGTGCACAGGAGTTCAGACAGGGCCTCGGCCAGCGAGTTCCGGCCTGTTAGCAGGGGAGCTCGGCCAGGATTTACAAGACAGTGGCTTCCCCGTCCTGCCCACCAGCGAGAGGACGCAGGGGCCGTGGCCTGCAGGGAGCAGCCCCTCCTGGGGCCTGGATTTGGCTTGGGCTGCTGGACCCTGCCTTCTCCTCTTACCTGGTGAGAAAGCGGCTTGGGCTATGGCTGGTCAGTGCCAGTGAGGGCACAGAGAGAAGTCCTGCAAAACACTGCTTTAGGGTCACCGTCCCTGGCCTGAAGCCAGGGAGATGCTGGGCTTCCGGGCACAAAGTGCACCAAGGAACTGGGTTTGGGCGGGTGGCTCCAGGCTCGTGACCCGAAGCCTGTGCCCAGGACAGTCCCCAGATGCCGCACACCCTCCATTCCTGCTCTCCCGGTGGCAGCTGTGGGCCTAGCGCTGGTGGGCTGGGCATGCTGTGCACAGGGGCCAGGCTGGATGTGCTGTGGGAGGTCACTGTCCAACCAGCACTCTCCAGAAGGCAGGGGCTGGGGCACGGGTACATTCCGAGCTCCAAGGAGCATTGTATGGCCCGTGGGGGCTTCTACCCTGAAAGACCTGTTGGAGCCCAGAAGCCTGAACCTGGACTCGGTCCAGAAAAATGGAAAACCAAACTCACGCTCTGGGCCTCACCCCGGACCCTGGCTCGGCTCTGAGGGGACACATGAGTCCCCCTATTTGGTTCCTCCTTGCTCAGGGTCACTAGGGATCCTAAATGCGAGGGACAGAGAAGCCTGTATGGGCTTGTCCCAACTCCAGCCCCACACCCCTCGCACCCTGCCCTGCAAGTGTCTGCCCCGTGCCCCAGGCACCCACCCTCCAGAGGGGCAGAGTTCACTGTGCATGGTGGGGGCAGGCGTGGGGTGGGGTAGGAGGCACCGGGCTGCTCTCCAGGGCTCTGGCCCCGCTTCCCATTCGGTGTGCATCCCATACCATAGGCCTGTACGAAGCAGCTCAGAGGTTTATTGGCAGACTTGTGGGGGCAGCTCGCTCTTCCCCCACCAGGGCTTCTAGCGGCTGGGCAGGCAGGTACAGGTGGGGCTGGGGGCTCCGAGGGGCTTAGGGTAAGAGCATGTTGTGGGTAGGACTGGCCTTATTGCTGGTTCTCAGTGGGGCCAGGGAGGGGGTGCTCTCGGCCTCTGGACTTGCTGGGTCCAGGACAGCAGGAAGTGGCCATGCCCGCAGGGCTGGGGTGCCCTGGCCACAGGGCCATGCAGAGGGCTGCACATATGAGCTTGCCCAGCAGGGGATGCCCAGGTCCCAGGCCTGTGGGTGGCTTGCACTGGTTTACAGACTACAGCAAGGCTTCAAGGGAGCAGGAAGTTTGCGGGGGCTCTCTGGAGAGACTCCTGTGGCCTCAGGGGCTGGTCACCACCTGGGCTACAAAAAAGACCTTGTAAGTCTCCTTCACATCGCCCTTGAGCTGCAGCAGGGCTGACACCATCAGTGGATGATCCATCTGGAATGGGCGGGGAGGAAGGAAGGGGACCGTCAGCCGACTGCCCAACTCACCTGCCCAGGGTCTGCCAGGCAGCCCCCAACCCGGGTGGGGCAGGGGTATCATCCTTCCCAGCGTGCCCTGGCCAGAGTCTGTGGCACCTACATCAAAATCAGCAGGTGGCAGCCAAGCGATGCTGATGGTCTTGGTCTGGCCGCGCTCCACGAAGCCTCTGCAGGGCTCGATGGTGAAGCCCTTGTGCTGCAGAGACGTCGCGCTGTCCAGGCTGAACTCGACGGTCTGCGGGGCACTGGAGTTGCAGGCCGGGCACAGCTCCCAGAAGGCAGCGTGACTGGGGTCAAGGCTGCCCGACTCCACCCGCCCTCGCAGCCCTGCCCAGCAGGCTGCCCACCCGCATCTCCCAAGGGGCAAGGCCAGGAGGGGCCCAGGCTGCCCAGGTGTGCAGTGCCTCAGAGGGGCTGGGTGGGCCTGGCAGTGCTGTGGTCACCTTCTTTGGGGACAGCTGGGTGGTCCGGATGCAGCCCACCTGCAGCTCCCGGGTGGCAGGAGGGGCTGGCACGTCTGTGTCCAGCTGGATATAATCCAGGGTCACCAGGATGGGCTTCAGCTCCTCGGCTTCTGCAGAGAGTGGACCTGGCTGGGGGCCGGTGTGGGGGGGTGCCACCCAGGGGGTGAGGGAGCTGCCTCGGGCTAGCTGGTCCTCAGGAAAGTATTCTCCGGGGGATGGGCCAAGAATGCCCACCCCACCCTTCAGGCTTCCTAGGGTGAAGGGTGCAGGCGGGCAGCTCCTCCTGCTGTCCCAACACCCGCCGGAGGGGCTCCCACTCCTCACCTTCTCTGCGCTCGGAGTCGCAGGCGGGGATCACGGTCAGGGACTCCACAGGCACATCCAGGGGGTCTCCGCCCTCCACGAACATCATGTGTTCACGGGCCGCGCCCTTCAGAAGAATCTGGTGGGAGACTTTCTGGGGACAAGGACCACAGCAGCGTCACTCCAAGCACCCGTGACCGGGGCTCCAAGAGGGTGGGGGCCCGTGGGAGCCGGGACACTGGGCTCTCCACCTGATGACACCCTGCCCGGCTCGGAGCCCCCAGGCACGAGCCAGCGCCTCCAAAGGAGGGCAGCCCGGGAAGGCCAGAGGAGTCCCGGACACTCCGGAAGAGGGGTCGAGGCTAGGCTGCTGGAGCCGCACCTTTCCGAAGAGCACCACCTGCAGCCTGTCGGAGAAGTACCGGCTCTCGTGGTCCGGGCTGAAGGTCACCGTGAAGTCCTGCGTCTTGCCCGGATCTATGATGCCCTCGACTGGGACCACGCTGAACACGCTCTGGCCGCTGTGGTTCCGCGTGCCTGAGGGCAGGTGGGCAGCGAGGCGGGTCCCCTGGTCCGCGGCAGCGCTCCTCCCCGGTCCGACCCTCTGCGCACCCCCCCCCCCCGGCCGTGCCCCCCCAGCGGCGGCCCCCTCCCCCAGCTCACCCACGACTTCAGTTCTCCGGGCGGGAAAGGCGAGGAACTGCGGCAGCGGCTGCTGGCTTCTGCTCCCGGGGCCGCAGAGGCTGTCCAGCTGCAGGGAGAACCTGACCGGCAGCACCGAGCTGTTCTGCAGCTGCGAGCACAGGGGCCCTCAGCGCCGGCCCGCCGATGCGCATGCGCGGGCCGCTGCACCGGGGCCCTGAGCGCGCCCTGGCTGGGGGTCCCGCGCAGCCGCCCTCCTGCCGCCTCGCTCCCGGCTCGAGGCTGGGCTGTTGGTTCATCTCGTCCAGCCTCACGTTACCCCGCTTCCAGCCTGGCCCTCCCAGCCCCATCCACGTGTCTCGGGGAGGGAACCCGGGAGGGGGGTGCGCCCTGGGCTCCACGGCTTGCTCCTCTGCCCCCGCTCTCTGAGAGCGCCCCCGCCTCTTCACGGGCATCCCTGTCCTGGGCTCAGTGCCGCGTCCCCGCCTAAGCCCGTGGACCAGGCGGGTGTCTTGTCAGCTGCTTGATGCCAAGGCTGGTGAGTCCCTCAGACGTTGGAAAAACCTGGGGAGCCAGCCTGCCCTCTCGCAGGGGGCGGGAGACCACAGGGCAGTGGCCTGGCCAGGACAGTCTGTAACCCCACCCCCACACCCCACAGCCGTGCCCGAGCTGAGCTCCCCATCCCAGATGGGATGGCTCCTGCAAAGGCCCTGAGGCAGGAAGACAGGGCGCACTAAGAGGCAGAGCAGGTGAGGGGTGGAGGGAGGGGCACTCTCAGCCTCCCCCCTGCTGGACTGGGCAGTGGAGGTGGCAGCTGCTGGCCGTGGGGCTGGATGGCGGCGGCATGGGGGGAGTGACCTGCAGCTCTACTAGCTCCCCTCCCCAGGCGGGTCTGACCCCTCCCAGGGTGGAGCCCCCTCCTAGGAGACCAGGGAGGCACCAGGTGCCCTGTGATGCGCTTCACCTTGAAGTTAGAGGACACAGACTCTCTGGCAATCACATAACCCATGTCGAGAACGTCCCCTTCAATGGAGCACGTGATCATGGATGCCACGCCGGTGCCCATGAGGGTCAGAGAGAGTGTGCCTCTCTTGGTGATGACGTCCAGTGTTTCTTGGGCCTGCGGAGACCACGTCCATTAGCACGGAGCCGGCGTCTGTCAGAGGCACGTGCCGGCGCTCTGTCTGGGAGCCCCTGGGCCAGGGCAGGCCGCAGCTGAGTGCTCTGAGCTCCCTAGCCTCCTCCTGCTTGCCGGCCAGAGTGGGGGGGGGGGGCCCAGCGCACGGGCTGCAGACTCACCTTGACGCTCTCCCGGGGGGAGAAGGACAGGGTCAGGACCTGGGTCTCGCCTGCCAGGAGCTTGCTGATGGGGTTCAGCAGGATGAAGGAGCCATTGGGGTTCAGCACAGAGAACTCCACCTGTGGGCCTGGTGTCAAGGAGAGGTGGCGAGAGCAGGGCCGCGTCCCCCCCCCCCCACCGCGCCCCTCCAGCTGCTCCCTTCCCGCCCCCAGGGAGTTGCGTGGGCTGAGCGTGGACAAGGATACGGCAAGGTCCTCGGGGGAGATGTTCTGGATGGAGACCTTCTTTATGCCACAGTGCCCTAAAACGGGAGGGTGGGGTTAGGTTCCAGCCCTAGGCCCAGGGGAGGGCATGGGAACCCAGGCCTGGGTCCCTGGGGTGCGGCTGTGTGTGGGGGGCTGGGCCCAGCTGGGGCTCACCTACAGCGATGTCACCGAAGTTGAAGACGGTTTTGCCCTTGTTGGAGGCCACGACGAGGGACGGGGCCACAGCGGGACACCATAGCTCCAGGTACAGGGTATTGTGGGGACTGGGGACAGGCAGGGCATGCTGGTGGCACCGTGCTCCCCACCCCACCTTGCCTGCCCTCTCCAGCCCCTGCACCCTTCCCTCCAGGCCCCCAGAACTGGTTCATAGCCCAGCAGGGACGGCGACTTTCTGGAAGACACCGCTCCCCCGCCAGAGCACTGCACCTGAAGCTCAGGGGCTCCGTCCCCTTTCTGTCCGCAGTGTCACCACTGGCAACAACACAGGGCACCACAAACTTGTCAAAGCTCCCCGGGAAAGATCTGGCCAGGGTGGCCTGGGCAGCCTGGTACTCGTCGGAACTGGAAGTAAGCAACAGCGTGCACTCGTGCCCCCGCACCCACACGGCCCCCCGAAGCCCCGGGGGGCCTGCTCCTCTCTCCAGGGCCCCGGGCCACAGGGGTCGGGGCGGCTGCCTGGGGCTCTGCCGGGCTGTGGCTGTCCCAGGTCTGTGTGACCAGCTGGCTTTCCCACCCTTCCCCGGTTCCTGGGGGGCCCTCCCCCTACCCCAGGGTCCTGATTAGGCACCTAACCAGAGGGCCGTGTTCCTGGGGCCTCAGGCAAGGGTTCAGGGTGGGCAAGTGACTCAAGCCCATCAGAGCTCTCCGGGCCTCACTTGACATCTGGGGAGGCTGGGGTTGCTGAGCTGGGAGTCCAGGAACCAGGGACAGCAGGGTCACCCCCAGCCCGCGGTGTGAGGATGTGCACAGGGGTGCCAGGCGCAGGGGAAGGGGGCGGACAGATGCCTAGGAAGCCAGAGCTCCAGGGGCCTCGAGCCGGTGCCTGGATTCAGCTGTGTCTGGAGCCGGCACAGCCCTGGACTTGCGGTCACATGGCTCCAAACAGCTCTGCTCAAGGTGCTCTGTGGGGAAGTCACCACGGGGGAGGGTGGGGTCTCATCAGATGGGCCCAGAGGGAAGTGTGGCCTTCTCTGGGGCCTACCTGGGCTTGAGGTCCAGCTTCTGCAGCTCGGCATCCTGGGTGGTGGAGGCCCGGGGCGGGTGGTCCCGGCTCTGCAGCCACAGCGTGGAGATGGACTGTCTCGTTAGGTCCTTCCTCTGGGTGACTGTGTCCTTGTGGGACTGTGGGGACGAGGCCAGCCCTGCTCAGCCCAGCAGGGGCCACGAGGAGGAGCCGTGGCCTCAGGCGGACTGACCCCTGCAGGAAGCCCAGGGGCGTGGGCTTGGAGGGGAAGGGGCTCCGTCAGGAAGACTGACTGCAGGTGCCTCGGAGACAGGTGAGTGTCCAGAGGGAGACACCAGGCTCCCAGCGCAGAGACCCTGTGGGCCCGTGCACCAGCTCGTGTTTGCTTTCAGCAACGGGGAAACTGAGGCAAAAGCGGGGCAAAGAGTTGCCCATGACCGGAGGCCCTCCTTCCCGGTGCCGTCCCCCTCAGCTTATGCGGGAAGGCAAGGGCTTCTTTCCCCCGCGTGTGCTGGAACAGCTCGAGATGTCATGAGACACCGGACAAGTGTGCTTTGTGTCCCTCTGCGTTCCCAGGGGAGCAGTGGGTGGGCATCGCTCTAGGCTGTGACTGCACAGCTCTGTGTGGGTCCGTGGGATCCCCCTCTCCCCGCTGCCTCTCTGGGGCTGGCTGGGGCAGCGGGGCCTGGCCCTTGGCTGGATTTATCCCTGGGCTGATGCTTTCAAGTTCACATTTGTTTTTTATGTTTATTTATTTGAGAGAGAGCGCCCGAGGGAGTGGGGGAGGTGCGGGGGGTGGGGTGGGCAGAGGATCCAAAGCAGGATCCAAAGCAGGTGGGGGCTGTCAGCACAGAGCCCGATGTGGGGCTCGAACTCATGAACCCTGAGATCACGACCTGAGCCGTAGTCAGACGCTTAACTGACTGAGCCCCCAGGCGCCCCTCAAGTTTGCATTTGTGAGGCTGTTTTCAGGGGCCCCTTTGCTGTTTTATCTGCTCTCCTTCTGTTAGAGCCGCACCTGGCCACCAGCGTGTCCTGCCATGGCTCACCCTCCCGGGACGGCCCTCTGGGGACCCAGCCTGCCTGGGGGAGAAGAGGCCTCGCCAAGGGAGTTTGAAGCTGTTGAGGCAGGCTCGCGCTCACACGCTCCTGAAAGCCCGGCAGTGCTCCCCGCAGGCTGACCTGGGCCCTGGGAGCCTCCGGCGGCGGCGGTTGTCTGAAAGCCTTTGTGCAGGAAGCCTCAGCCACCCAGCCCGTGCCCCCACACCCACCCTCTCCGCGTCCCCACGCACCGATTTGACCTCCGTTTCTTTGGTCAGCATCTGGAAGGCTTCCTGGAGGATCAGCTTGGCCGGGAGCACGGGCCGGAAGGCCACCTGGACCAGGCATCTCTGCAGAGAGGAGCCCAGAGGGCGGAGCTGACGCCCTGCCCTCCCCTGGGTGCCCCTCCCCTGGGTGCCCCCGGTCGCACTCTCTGACACTCCTGGCCGGACACCTCCAGCACTGCCGAGGGGTTTCAGCTCCCTGAGGGCCTTTCCAGGGAGGCGCGCCCCGAGCTCCCCAGGCTCCAGCGCCTGATCCAGGCCACTCTTACCATGCGGGGCGGGCGGGCCCGGAGGAGGCCCCGCCCACGGGAGGCCCCGCCCACGGGAGGCCCCGCCCACGGCCCTCGAGGCCGAGAGAGAAAGCAGACGGCTCAGTTCTCCCGCCTAACCGGCCCCTGCGGCCGGCGGGGCGGCCCGGGCCCCACAGAGGCTCATCCCAGGGGTCCCCGTGCTCAGGGCAGCAGAGGTGCTCACACCCTGCAGCGGAGGTGGCATGGGTGCGGTAGGAAGAGGGAGGGAGCGCAGAAGCCCCTGCAACACCCCTTCTGGGGACCCGTACTTCGGCAGTATTGGCTAAATTTAAAGAAATGCGTTTTGAATAACCGCACCGACTGAAAGCTGCTGGTGTGCAGGCGTCCCAGCACCGTCGCATGCCCCTCCTCCCTGGGGCCCTTGCGCAGCCACCCTGCGCTCCAGCTCCAGGCGGCGGGGGTGGCCCTGGCACTGGCTGCGAGGAGGCGCTGCCTCCGGGCCCCGCGCTCTGGCAGCCGGAGCAGAGGCGGGGAGCCCTTTCTCAGGGGAGGGGGTCCGCCGCCCGTGGGTGCCCCTGCCCCTGGGGCTCGGGCTGGGCTGGGCCTCCCCCATCACCGCCCGGCCTACCAGGGGGGCCCACACCTGCCTTTCCTGGCAGCACGGTCCCCACCAAGGGCGAGATGGTGATGGGTGAGTCTGGGGGCGGCAGGAACTCGAAGCTGGTGGGCCCCACAGGAGAGGCGTCCTCGGAACCGATTCGGGGCACGGAGTGAGTCAGCGAGTTCATGCTCACATGAGAGTTGATGACGTACAGGGTGGCCACAGACGTGTCGTACAGGGAAGTGGCTGCAAACTTGACCTGGTAGTGGGACAGCTCCAAGGGCGGGCAGACACCCACGGCTCGGCACACTAGCTTGAAGCACCTGGAAGGGCAGGTGCGGGCGGCTCAGAGGGGGTGCCAGCCCTGGGGACCCCGTGTGCTGTGGGAGGTGGCCTCCAATGGAGATGGTGGCCGGCAGCTGTCCCAAGGTTCTGCTCACTATCTCATTAAGGAATTTTACGATCTTTTGAAAATACCACAGACCTCTGCGCACATTTACAAAAGACAGATAAACATTTCACCCCGATTTGTTGAGGAGGGAATTTCTGGCTCATTTTTGTTAAACACTCATTGACACTTAAGAAATACAATCGATAGGGGTGCCTGGGTGGCTCAGGTCATGATCTCACGGTTCGTGAGTTTGGACGAGCTCTGTGCTGACGGCTCTGCGCCTGGAGCCGCTTAGGATTCTGTGTCTCCCTCTCTCTCTGCCCCTCCGCTGCTTGTGCTCTCTGTCTCAAAAATGAATAAACATTAAAAATTAATAAAACTGACAACTTAGTCTTTAACATGAGCACAGGGATCTATAAACCCGAGTGAATCCATTTCTGCCATTGCCTGTGAAAGAAAGAGAACAGACGCGGGACGGGCTTTCCATCCCGCTCTGCGCCCCGTTTGTCCACAGCCCGGCAGAGGCGGCCCGGTGCTGGCGAGTGCCGTGCCCTCCTGGGAGCCTCCCCGGCCCCATTTTGGCACTATGCCAGGGTGCCCTGTCCCTCCCACCCCCACTGAGACCCCTGTGGCTTTCTAGAGCCTGGACAGGACCGTCCACACACCTCCATGGTGTGGGTGGGTGTGTTCCTGGTTTTCTCGGACCATGTGTGATCAGACTGGTATTTGAACAAAATAATGTATCAAGAAAAAAAAAATGAACAGATATTTGTTACTTTAACTGGTGGAATGTTTCCACTCTTCAAGCCCTGATTTCTACTGTTCTCTTCTTGTCCGATTTCATCCTCATTACACATATTTTAATGCCTTAAAGGCTGATGTTGCTTCCCCAGCCATACTGGTCTTTGACGATGTTACCCATATGTTGAAATGCTGAAATATACATTTTTTATGTCGCGTGACAATGTTAAAACAAATCATTGTGGGTGGAGAGATACTGAGGTTATTGTTAGTATATGATTAATTGAGAAAACACATGCATGAAGCACAGGACTCATTACATACACAAAGTGTGATTTTCTTGCCGTCATTTCGGGACTGTGGACGGCGCTGCTCCCCCTAGCTGATCCCAGCATCCAGGCGTGCCTGGGGCAGGGGCGGGGGGCGCGGGCCGGGGGGGGGCTTTGCTCTCGAGTCACTCGTCCCTTGGAACCTCTTGTTACACGCCCACATCACACGCAGCAGGTCCTCCGGCAGTATTTTGAATAGTCCCCCTTTGGTGACTCACCTAGACCCTCCTTCATTTTGTTTCCAAGAAAGAACCAGAAGCTGCCTGCCCGTCAGGGGCAGCATGACCAAATTGTTACATGCTGCCATTCTTATGACTGAGGGGCAGTGCGTTTTCCCAGGACCCTGACGGAGGACGCGGCCAGTGGGCAGTCAGCGCCCTTGCTTTTCTCCATGGGCTCTAACCCTGCATTTCACCCCCGAACTCTTCCCACCCATGGACTCACCCCTACTCACCCACAAGCCTGTCAGGTCCCAGGAGGCCACTGCTCCTGCCCATGGCCACACACCTGGGGCCAGAAGAGGCCCCTGACCCCACCCTGGGCCTCCCCGGCCCCTCATCCCGGCCCACCCCCTCTGCATCCTGTTTGGCTTCTCTCCCTCTCCCACCTGCTCCGTCCCATCTGTCAGGGACTGTCCCCATCACATAGCGTGTGAGAACGAGTGGGGCTCATGTCCAGGTCCTCCTGAGTGCAGGGAGGCCATCTACACACCACACACACACACTCAAACACACACGCACGCGTGCCCACACACACACTAACACTTGCACGTTCAGATGCACTCACACATACACACATGTCCACACGTGTGCGCTCCCATGCTCGTACTCTCACGCACAAGTACTCACACAATCACAGGCACGCACACACACACACACAGGGGCGAGCTGGCCCAGCGCGCAAGGTTGCAGATCCCAGGAGCCTGGGTCTCAGGTCCCCGCCGCCAGGGGTGTCTCAGCCCAGCCAACTGGGCCGGTCACCTGGGCCGCCAGCGCCTGCGGCCGGAGCCAGCTGAGCCACGGGCCGGGCCCTCCGCGCCCCTCGCCTGCCGGCCTCACCGGTTGATCTCCGACTTGCAGATGAGCTCGAAGCTGTACTCCTTGGCCCGGGCGGGCTGGAAGGTCACATGCAGCTGTAGCGTTTCTAGCGGCAGGATCGTGCCAAAGCCGTCGTTGGGCTGGATGTCCACAAACTGGCAAACGGAAAACCGCTGACGCCAAAGTGGAACCACAGTGATCGGGGGCCCGTTGCAGGGGTTGCGTGGACACGTGTGGCGGGGGTGTGAGCGCATGGGTGTGTGCTTGAGTGTGTAAGAGTGTCCGAGAGGATGTGTCTGTCCGGGCGCGTGTAAGCGTGTTTGTGTGTGGATGAGCGACTGTAGTGCAGCACGTGGGTGTATGTGAGTGTGTTTGTGTGTACGTGCGTGCAGCACACCTGTGAGAGTGTCTGTGAGCACACGTGTGGTCACGTGTATATGTGAGCATGTCTGTGTGCATAGGATGTGTGTGCGTGTACGTGAGCGCACCCTGTGGGTGTGATGCGTGTGCGTGCATACGTGTGTCTGCGTGCACGTAAGTGGCGGCGGTTGGGGGGGTTGGGTCTGGGCCGCGTCCTCGCTGCCCTGCAGCGCCAGGCAGGCAGGAGTTCTGGGAGGGCGGGGGGGGGGCTGGGGTCCTGGCAGGGCAGAGAGCGGCGAGGCGAGGCGGTGGTGCGGGCAGCGGGGATGATGGGGCGCAGGCAGGGGAGACCCCAGACCAAGACACGTGGGGCGGGCGTGGGGCCTGGGGAGGGGTGAGGCCACCCGGAGCCGGGTGCCCGGACCCTGGGGTGGCGGCTGCCCTGGCCTGTCACCAGAGCTTCCCGATGCTGTGCCCACACCCCGTGCCGCTCCCTGGCCGCGCAAGGCACCTTGGGGAGCCCGACGAACCCGAAGGCCTGGGGCAGGAGGGAGAGGTTGCGGAGGCTGACTCGGGTCCTGACGGCCTCGTGGATGGTGCAGTAGCCGAAGTCCACTGCCGAGGGGCTGAGCTCCAGGTCCGAGGTGGTGACCACTGCGTGCACCGTGAACCCCACTGGCTTGATCTGAAGTGCAAAGGGCGAGTGCACGCTGGTCACTCGCAGTCTGTCTCTGCCAGTGTCTCCAGCGACTGGGAAGGCACAGCGTGTCGTCCACCTGGCGGCCGCCCGTGTGCCCTTTCTCAGACAAGAGACTCTTTGTAAAAGGCCACTTCCTGTCGCCCCTGACTTGGGAGGACACGAGAGCAGGTGCCAAAGGAGGGGGGGAGCCTCGGGGGGGCGGGGGTCAAGAGGGAATGGGCGCACGGACGCGTGCGCACACGGGCTCACGTTGTGAGTGAGTGAGCTCGGTGTGTGCCCCTGGGCACCCCCCGGCCCTGCGCAGCCCTCAGGGGTCTCTCTCTTCCTCGTCTCCACGGTGCAGGGGCGGCTGGGGTGGGAGACAGATCTGCCGGTCAGGCCATCGGGACCCGCCAGGGCCCTGCCTTTGGGGGAGGCGCTCAGGTCCCCAAGGGCGCCCGGCGTCCCTGGGAAGTGCCTCATGCTGACCTGGTCCGCCACCCGGATGGTCATCGGGGCCTCCAGGACTCTGCTTTCCTTGTCGAAGTACTTCCCTGCGTCTTCTGGGAGGGAGTGTCTGAAAGGGAGGGTGGGCTCCAAAGTGCTTTTCTTCTTGACGGTAGGAGCTGCCCTGGGGGTGGGGCTTCGGGTCGCGCAGCAGCAGGAAGCGCAGGGATCGGGGAGCCCGGCTCTCACCGCGGCAGGAACTTGAGCTGCACGGTGCAGGCGGAGCGGGCCTGGATGTAGCCGGTCTCCGGCAGGAGGTCCATGTGACGCCTCAGCTCCCTGCACACTTCAAACTTCAGCCGCAGGGCCGCTTTCGACCTGCAGGACACGGGGGGCGCCCGGCGGCGCCGCTGTGCGTCTGGCCCGGGGGACGGCCGCGCCTCTCCCGCGTGCGCGGGGCGGAGGGCGAGTGGGGCTGAGCGGCGGGTCCGCGGCTGAGGACTTCGTCCCCGGGAAGCGCGGCCGGCGAGGGTGAGTTCTCAGAAGCCTGAGTCCCCCGGGAAGACCTGCGCCGGGCGGGCACCCCGTGCGAGGACCTGGAGGGGGGTGGGGGCGGGGGTGGGACCCCTCCTCCTCTGCCCTCCTCCTGCCCAGGCCAAGGTTCTGGGAGAGGCGTCCCCAGGTTTCTTCCCCGCCCTCAACTCCGGAGCAGCCGGGGAAGCCAGGTGAGCCCCCCAACACTCACGTGGGGCGCCTGCTTCTGGCTCCTGCCTCCGGGAGCCCCAGCCCTGATCTGCGCTCATCTGGAACCTTCCCGCTTTCCACCATGAGGCTCCCCCCACACCTCTGCCTCCCTGTGAGGCTCCGGCAAACCACGTGACCCGGCCGACTCTGTCACACGCACTCGCCCTGCACGCACAGCTGGGGTCTTCCTTTACCCCGCAGGCCGCGTGCTGCCCCCCCCCCCTAAAGTGGCCGCACCTTGCACCCTGAGATAAACTGACTGGCAGAGGCTGGCCAGCCCTTGTTTCCCAAACAAATGCACTGGAGCCCCTCCCGAGGCCCCTGACGTCTGTGGTCCTGAGGCCGAGGCAGCCAAGTCCCCCACGCAGGACGGCCCGGAGGCGGTCTGCCGGGCTCCCACCCCACGGGCCGTTCTGCCGCGGGAAGCAGGGCTGGGCTATGCCTGGTGGGCCTGGCGTCAGCAGGTGCCGGCACCAGGCCTGTCTGGGGAGCAAGGCGCACTGAGTGCTAAGCGTGGCATTTGCCTACTTTTCTCCACCTAAGTTGCACTTTAGTAAAAAGTTCTTAGAATTGACTGCTCTGGTCTGGACGCCCGTGCAAAACACGTCTCCTTCCTCAGGGCTCCCCGCTTTCCTCTCTGTGTCCACGAGGGGCCAAGGACACGCGTGTGGAGGGGTGAGCGCCCCCTGTGATGAGCAGCCCCCTGCGGACCCAGGGGGTCGGGACAACACAGACCTAGCCTCCTGGGGCTCGGAGGTCAGAAGCAGACACGGGCCCCACGGGTAAGGTCCCTCCCGAGGCCCCAGGGAGGAGCCCCTTCCTGGCCCTTCCCAGGGTCTATCGGCACCGCAGCCCCGGCCGCGGCCCGGCCTCCGGCTCCCCGTCTGACGCCGTCTGTGTCTGTGTTGGACTCTGGGCCCCTGCCCCTCGCGCGATGACCCGCCCTCTGGCCACACAGGATGGCCCCCGTCTGAGGTGCTCAGCTGCCCGCGGCCTCACCGTGTGTGGACGAGGATGGAGTCCTGATACAGCCGGTCGTACATGCAGATCTTCAAGTCCACGTGGGGCTTCGGCACCCACACGGGCACGTCCACGGCCACGCCCGTGACTCTGAAATATAACTACGTTTGGAGGTGTGACGTCAGCAAGGCAGGCGGTGCTGGTGCCGCCGCAGCCGCCGAGGGCGCCAGAAGTCCTGCGGGTGCCGGAGCCTCATCATTAACCACCGCCGAGGGTTCATATCGTACAATCTCAACAAGCCTTTTTGTTGTCAACATTTTCTTTTTTTAAATATTTTTATTTAAGAAAAATTTTTTTAACGTTTTATTTATTTCTGAGAGAGAGAGAGAGACAGCGTGAGCAGGGGAGGGTCAGAGAGAGAGGGAGACACAGAATCTGAAACAGGCTCCAGGCTCTGAGCTGTCAGCACAGAGCCCGACATGGGGCTCAAACCCACGAACCGTTTGATCATGACCTGAGTTGAAGTCGGACGCTTAACTGACTGGGCCACCCAGGCGCCCCTGTTATCAACGTTTTCAAACATAAAAGGAAAGAATAGTGGGGCGCCTGGGTGGCTCAGTCACTTAAGTGTCTGACTTGGTTTTGGCCCAGGTCATGATCTCCCTGTTCGTGGGTTGAAGCCCCGTGTTGGCTCTGCTCTGACAGCACCGAGCCTGCTTGGGATTCTCTCTCTCCCTCTCTCTCTGCCCCTTCCCAGCTCACTCACACACACACACACACACACACTCTCTCTCTCTCTCTCCCTCAAAAAACAAGCAAATAAACATTAAAAAAAAGAACAGTATAAGGGATTGTCATGTTCCCATCACACAGCTTCATAATTATTAACATTTTCCACTCTTTAAAAAAACAGCTAATGGGGCGCCTGGGTGGCTCAGTCGGTTAAGCGTCCGACTTTCACTTAGGTCATGATCTCGCGGTTCGTGGGTTCGAGCCCTGTGTCGGGCTCTGTGCTGACTGCCAGCTCAGAGCCTGGAGCCTGTTTCAGAGTCTGTGATTCCCTCTCTCTCTGACCCTCCCCTGCTCGTGCTGTCTCTCTCTCTCTCTCTCTCTCCTAGAAATAAATAAAAATATTTAAAAATAAATAAATAAATAAAAATAAAAAAACAGCTAAAATTGGGGCACCCGACTGGTTCAGTCAGTTGAGCGTCCAGCTTCGGCTCTGGTCATGATCTCACAGTTCGTGGGTTCAACCCCCACATCGGGTTCTGTGCTGACAGCTCAGGGTCTGGAGCTGCTTCCAATTCTGTGTTTCCCTCTCTCTCTGCCCCTCCCCTGCTCATGCTCATGCTCTGTCTCTCTTAAAAATAAATAATCATTAAAAAAAAACCAAACAGCTAAAATAAAAATATTTTATAAATAAAATTATTTTATAAATAAAAAAATTATCAGCATTTTCAGCTGTTTAAAAACCTCTTTTATCAGAGAATATTGCATCACACCGCGGGGGGCGCACGTCATAAAACTCTCAGCTGACACGGGAAGGCGGCTCAGAGGTCTCAAGGCACCAGGAGGACCGGCCGCCCTTCTCCCCCCTCCCTGGCTGCCGGCTGCTCCCGGGTCTGCGGGGGCTCGGGGCCTGTGGGTGTCTGCAGGGACATGTGTCCAGCAGCCCCTCCCGGGCTGGCCAGGGCCCTGGCGGGGGGGAGGGGGGGGCTGCCCTGCTGCGGCGGCGGCGAGCTGAGGACTCCCCACGCCTTCCTCCAGGACCCCCAGCCTGGGACGGGGCCCCCGGGCCACAGGACAGGGTGGGCACTGCGGAGCCCGGGGCCTGGCTCCAGAACACGCCAGCGAGCAGACCAGAGGCCACAGGGTCTCTGGCACCAGAGACAAGACGACCCGTGCAGGATGAAGGCGGACGGCACACGCTGCGGGACGGGGCCGCGGGGGGCGGCCGGCCGGGGGGAAGCAACAGCATCAGTCCGAGGTAGGGGCGCGGCTGAGTGCCTAGCAAGCGGCCGGGCTGATTTCCGGCACTGGGATCACCCCTGCAGAGGCCCGTCGGCTCAGGGTCGGGGGGGGGGGGGGGGGGGGGGGGGGGGGGGAGCAGTGCCTGTGAGCACGCGGCTCAGCAGCCAGGGGCGGTGGCGGGAGACACAGGACACGCCCGGCGGGAGACAGACTTGGAGGACAGACGAGCGACCTTCCGGGGCCGCGAGGGGGCGGCCAGCCGCGGGAGCCCCGTCCGTGCGGGGGTCCAGGCTCAGTGAGAGAGCCTGGCACAGGCCTGGGAAAGGAGGGCCAGCGCGCCCGGGGCTGCCCTCTCCGGGCACGGGGCGCAGCGTCCGTGGAGCGCCGGGGAGGAGGGCCCACCTCGGCCCGCAGCCCTCTCTTGGCGGGAGAGGCTGACGGTGTGGGGACAGTACACCCAAGTCCTGCCAGCGGCAGGTCGGAGGGAGGGAGAGGAGCCAGGGTGTCTGCTGCCCAGCTCACCCAGCAGGGCCGCTGCGACCCAAGGCCACAGCCCCTGTCAGGCCAGCTTCTCCGAGTTTTTGGTTACCAAGGTCTAGTCTTTGTTCTCTCCTGTCACCTCTGTAGGGTCACTGTGGGGCGCTGTGGGGTCACTGTGGGGGTGTTGTGGGTCACTGTGGGGTCGCTGTGGGGTGCTGTGGGTCACTGTGGGGTTGCTCTGGGGTGCTGTGGGGTCACTGTGAGGTCACTGTGGGTCCTGTGGGGTCATTGTGGGTCACTGTGGGGTCACTGAGGGGCGCAGTGGGGTCACCGTGGGGTCACTGTGGGTCCTGTGGGGGTCACTGTGAGGGTCACTGTGGGGTCACTGTGGGTCCTGTGGGGGTCACCGTGGGGTCACTGTGGGTCACTGTGGGGTGCTGTGGGGTCACTGTGGGGTCACTTAGGGGTCCTGTGGGGTCACTGTAGGGTCCTGTGGGGTGCTGTGGGGTCACTGTGGGGTCACTGTGGGGTCGCTGTGGGGCGCTGTGGGACACCACGGTACTGCAGATGTCTTGCAGCAGAGCTGAGTCTGGGGGTATCTGTGCAGTGTTATGGCGCGGTTCTGCCTGCCCCTCGGGGCTCCTGTTATAAGTAGGCATCACTGTCTCAAATCCCTGAGCCCTGACACACCCGTTCTCCAGAGCAGGGACACCGAACAGGGAGAAAGGGGAAGAGGGAACGCGGCGACGGCGAACACGTCGAATGGTCACCCCTGAGCGGAGGCGGCGGGCTGGCTGCCTGGCGGTGGATGGTGGGCGTCGGGGAGGAGCCCCCGAGGCCACGGGCGCCGTCGAGGACATCTTAGCTGACCTGAGGACAGCTGAGTAAAACCTAGAAGTGAGGTCCAGGAAGGGGTAAACAAAAGGGCCCAAAGCTGCACCGTGGTCTGGTCCTCGGCACGTGCTGGAGAGCGTCTTGCTCTGCGGTCCCCGTTCCGCACGAGAACGGAAAGTCTCGCGGGATTTGGGGGGAGACTCCTCGTGGAATGGAAAGTGGAATTTCCAGATAAAAGGGGAAATGGAATAAATAGCAACGTACTCAAACCAGAGAGAAGAGAACCCGAGAGAGCAAATGATCTAAACAACATAAATAGCATGAAGTAAGAGGGACCGAGCGAAACCACTGCCTGTCAGGCTGGGCCAGGGCGCCGGGCTCTGTCCCCCGGGGTAGAGGACAGCAGAGGGGCCGGCAAAGCCACAACACAGACAGCAGCACGTGTCAGGGCACGTGGGCGGTGTGGACGGACACAGGCCAAGCGTCGGGAGGGCGCACGGAGGGCAGAACCGAAGGGAACGGGCCACGTCCTGAATCTGCTCACGGCCCTTAATCATGTGCCCGCGTCACACCTATAAACTCCGTCTTGCCTTTGGTTACAAAGAACAACTACTTCGGGGCACCTGGGGGGCCCAGGCGGTTAAACCCGACTTGGGCTCAGGTCATGATCTCACGGTTCGCGGGTTCAAGCCCCGCGTCGGGCTCTGTGCTGACAGCACGGAGCCTGCTTGGGATTCTCTGTCTCCCTTTCTCTCTCTGCCCCCTCTTTGACTCTGTCTCAAAAATGAATAAAAATTAAAAAATAAAAATAAAAGCAAAGTTAAAAAGTTTGCAGATCCTGTTCTCTGAAAAACAACTTAATAAATGTGTAAGTAAGTAAATAAATAATAAAAAGTAATTGGAAACTAGGCAAGGCATTTCTAGCGACTAAGAGCAGGGGCCCCGTGCACGCGCACGGGTGTGTGAGCGCATGTGTGTTCGTGTGCGCTGCGGTGCCAGCCATCTGTGCTGCCAGCTGGCTGTCCAGGCATGGGGAGCGCCGAGCGGCAGGGACCCTGGCGGCCAGGGCGGTACTCACCGTGGGACACTGCTTATTCTTAAACACGACCTTGAACTTGGTGTGGATGGTTCCTGGGATGACGGGTGTGAAGATGACCGGTACTTTGATGGAGCTGAAGGGGCCAATCTCTCCCTCTGTCACCTGCATCCAAAGACAGTTGTCCCAGACCCAATCAGCCTTCACATTTCTATCAAGGCGCCTCCCCATGTCCTCACCACGGGCTGTGTCACTGTGAGGGGGAGTGTTCCGGGGCCCTGTCCCTGCCTTTCGAGGACTGCCTGCCCAGCAACACAGTTGAACCCCTCCCGGAATGCTCCTGTGTGTGTACTTGCTCTCTTGATGCCCCAGGGCTCTTGCACGTACGCATGTGCACACACACACACACACACACACACCCCATGCTCAAGCCTGGGAGGCCCTACTCATGTCTTCTCGGAGCAGGACCCAGTGCCCTGCACCCAGGACACGGTGTCTGCTACTCCGGTCCTGCCTGGCCCCAGCTTGGGATGGGGGTGGCCGCAGGCTGGCTGACAGTGCAAGCCACGCAGAGGCTGTGAGTCCGGAGCAGCCGAGTGGAAGGGCCACCCTGGGGGAGGGGCCGGCGGGGGGGCTGGGAGCCAGCGAGCCTTGCTGACCTCTCCCAGCGAGATCTCCATCTGCTCCTCGTTGGGAGATACGGTCATCGCAGTGGTCATGGTCACTCCCTCTGATTCTGGAAGAGAATGGGATCCAGATGAGAGGGCTGGCCGGGCACCCCGTAGGGCCCAGGGGTGAGCCGGGGTGCTGGGGCTTGGGTCCCTCCCTCTCCTGGACCACCAGCTGCCATGGGCTGGTGGGGTCCCCGCCATCCTGGGCAGCCGGTTCTAACCTGACCCAGGCGGAGCTGCAGCACCCCCCTGCCCCCCCGCCCCCCCCCCCGCCCTGCAAGGAGGAGCCATCCAGTGGCACAGGAGGGGCAGGGAGGGGCGGGGCTTGCCGGGCGGACACGGACAGCGGGCGCCACGGCCTCCGCAGCTGGAGGTGGGGGTGCGAGGCACTTCCCGACGCCAGGGGAGCAGAGGGACCGAGGCCTGAACGTTTACACCCTCTCAGATGTCACAGCCTGATCACTGGTGATTGCATTTTGTCTGTGTGCGAGCTGCCGGCGTGTCCCCCACTGGTGGGCCGGGCATTCCGGATCCCCCCCCCATACCCTCCCCAGACATTTATCGGGAGGCCCCTGAAAGCAGATGCTGATCCCTCCTGTCTGAGAAGGTCTTTCTATTGACTCTGCTTGTGAAGACACAACTCGATAGGAGCTGGGGCGCCCGCCTGGGGGCTCAGTCGGTTGAGTGTCCGGCTCTTGAATTCAGGTCAGGTTGTGATCTCTCAGTTCTTGGGATGGAGCCTCGCATTGGGCTCTGTGCTGACAGTGTGGAGCCTGCCGGGGACTCTCTGCCTCTGTCCCTCCTCTGCTCGCTCGCTCTCTCTCTCTCTCTCTCTCTCAAAACAAGCAAGCAAGCAAACACACACACTTTGACAGGGAGGTGAAGGTCACCACCCTTCTGAGTCCTCCTCACACCTGACACCACGTGTGGCTGGCATGTGCCCCATTTCTGGGGCCTGGGGCTGCTCTGGGCTCCTCGAACTTGGCCGACGTGTCACCCTACTCAGCAGCCACAACTGTCCCCTGGGTGGGGGAGGAGGCGCCGGCCAGCTGCTGCCGACCTTGATGTTCACGCCCTCATCTGCTTCCGGAGTAACCGCTGTGCCAGCACAGGGCCCGACGTGGGGCTCGACCCCAGGAGCCTGACGTGACCTGAGCCGAAATCAAGAGTCAGACGCTCAACCCACTGAGCCCCCCCAGGTGCCCTAAACTGGGTTATTTGTTTTCTAATTGGGTTTTGAAAGTTCCTTACATTTTTTGGGTATGTTTTTTTTTTTACCAGATATGGTAATTTGCTAATATTTTCTGCCAAACTGTGGCTGACTTTTTCATTCTCTGAACGGTATCTTTAGAAGAGCAGATGTTTTTACTTTTGATGAAGTCCCGGCTACAATTTTTATTATATACATATACATATATATATACACACACAGACACATACGTATATAATGTTTATAGATATATACGTAATGTTTATTTTTTAATGTTTATTTTGAGAGAGAGAGAGAGTACATGAGCAAGCAGGGGAGGGGTGGGGGGGGACAGAGGGTCGGAAGCGGGCTCTGTGCTGTCAGCACAGAGCCTGATGTGGGGCTGGAACCCATGAACCATGAGATTATGACCTAAGCTGAAGTTGGATGCTTAACCAGCTGAGCTGCCCAGGTGCCCCTATCATTTACATGTTTTTATTATTTTATTTTACTTTTTCGTCCGAGGTGCACCCCTCAATCCCCAGATCCTGTTTTACCTTCTCCTCCCCACCACCCCCGCACGCCCCCTCTGGTGACCATCAGTGTGTTGTCTATAGTTGAGTCTGTTTCTTGGTTTGCCTCTCGTTTCTTTTTTTTATTTGCTCATTTGTTTCTTAAATTCCACATGAGTGAAATCATACGGCATTTGCCTTCTCTGACGGACTTATTTCACTTAGCATAATACGCTCTAGTTCTGTCCACATTGTTGCAAACAGCAAGATATCATTCTCTTTCACGGCTGAGTAATGTGCCACTGTACACATACATCACCTCTTTATCCACTCGTCAGTCAAGGGACACTTGCGCTGCTTCCAGAATTTGGTTATTGTAGATGCTGCTGCTATAAACATCGGGGTTCCTGTCCCCCCCCCCCCCCCCGATTTAGCGGTTTTGCATTCTTTAGGTCAATACCTACTAGTGCAATTGCTGGGTCACAGGGTAGTTCTAGTTGCCACTGTTTGAGGAAAGGGTCCCTTTCTCCACATCCTCGCCAACACCTGTGGCTGATTTCGGCCACTCTGACAGGTGTGAGGTGGCGTCTCATGGTGGTTTGGATTTGCATTTCCCTGAGGAGGAGTGACGCTGGCACCTTCTCAGGTGTCAGTTGCCCACCTGATGTCCTCTCTAGAGAAATGTCTGCTCGTGTCTTCCATCCATTTTTTAGTTATATTATTTGTCTTTTGGGTGTTGAGTTGTATCAGTTCTTTATAGATTTTAGATACTAGCCCTTTATTGGATATGTCATTTGCAACCATCTTCTCCCATTTATCAGGCTTAGGTATTTTAGTTTTGTTGGTGATTTCCTTCACTGTACAGAAGCTGTTTCTTTTGATGAAGTCCCAGGAGTTCATTTTTGCTTGTGTTTCCCCTGCCTCAGGAGACACAGCTAGAACGTTGTTGCAATGACCGATGTCAGAGAAATGACAGCCTGTGCTCTGTCCCAGGATTTTTACGGTTTTAGGTCTCACATTTAGGTCTTCCATCCATTTTGAATTTATTTTTGTGTAAGGGGAAGAAAGGGGTCCAGTGTCGTTCTTCTGCATGTCACTGTACAGTTTTCCCAGCACCATTTGTTGAAGAGAGTGTCTTTTTTTCCCGATGGACATTCTTTCCTGCTTTGTCAGATTTTTTTTTTTTTAATATTTTTTATTTATTTCTAGGAGAGAGAGAGACAGCGTGAGCAGGGGAGGGTCAGAGAGAGAGGGAGTCACAGACTGAAACAGCCTCCAGGCTCTGAGCTGTCAGCCAGCACAGAGCCCCAGGGCTCGAACCCACGAACCGCGAGATCATGACCTAAGCGAAAGTCGGACGCTTAACCGACTAAGCCACCCAGGCGCCCCTGCTTTGTCAGATTAATTGACCATATCGTTGTGGGTTTATTTCCTGGATTTCTATTCTATTCTATTCTATTCTATTCTATTCTATTCTATTCTATTCTATTCACCTACGTATCTATTTTTGTGCCAGTGCCATACTGTTGTAATTCTACCGCTGTGTAACGTAACTTGAACTCCAGAATTGTGACACATCCAGTTTGTTTTTCTTTTTCAAGATTGCTTCAGCTACGCAGGGTCTTTTCTGGTTCCATACAAATTTTAGAATTGTTTGTTCTAGTTCTGTGAAATATGCTATTGGCATTTTGATTGAGATCACATTAAATCTGTGGTTTGCTCTGGGTAGCTTAGACATTTTTTTAAATAAAGATTTTTAAAAATGTTTATTTTGAGAGGGAGAGAGAGAGGGAGAGCATGAGCAAGGGAGGCGCGGAGGGAAAGACAGAGAGACTCCCAAGCAGGCTCCATGCCGTCCGTGTGGAACCCAACTCAGGGATGAATCCCATGACCCTGAGGATCATGACCCGAGCTGAAATCAAGAGTCAGGCGCCCCTGGGTAATAGAGACATTTTAACAGTATTTCTTCTTCCAACCCATGAGTATGGAATGTCTTTTATTTCCTTGTGACACCTTGAGAATTACTGTCATCAGCACTTTATAGTTTTCAGAGGACAGGTCTTTTGTCTCTTTGGTTAAATTTATTCCTAGATATCTTATTGGTTTTGGTGCAATTGTAAATGGGATTGTTTTCTTAATTTCATATTCTGCACCTTCATTATTGATGTGTGGAAACGCAGCAGGTTTCTGTACACTGAGTTTGTGTCCTGAGACTTTACTGACTTTGTGTGTCCAGCAGCTTTGTGGTGGAGTCTTTGGGGTTTTCTATATAAAGTATCAGGTCATCTGCAAGTAGTGAAATTTTTACTTCTTTCTTAGATGCCTTTTATTTCTTTTCTTTTTCTTTATTAATGTTTTTATTTATTCTTCTTTTTTTTTAATGTTTTTTTAATTTACTTCTGAGACAGAGAGAGACAGAGACAGCATGAACAGGGGAGGGGCAGAGAGAGAGGGAGACACAGAATCTGAAACAGGCTCCAGGCTCTGAGCTGTCAGCACAGAGCCCGACGCGGGGCTCGAACCCACGGACCGTGAGCTCATGACCTGAGCCGAAGTCGGACGCTTAACCGGCTGAGCCACCCAGGCGCCCCACAGCAGGATTTTTAAAAATCGCCAATGGTCATTGTACTTTGTCAAATGCTTTCTCCTCATCCCTTGAAGTGTTTGTATGGTTTGATCCTTTCTCTCATTGCTGAGGTGTGTTGTGTTGATTGCAAACATTGTAACCACGGTTGCAACCTAGGAATAAATCCCATTTGGTCGCGATGAACGATTTTTTTAATGTATTGTTGGATTTGGTTTGCTAGAGTTTTATTGAGAATTTTTGCATCCATATTCTTCAGATATTGGCCGGTAGTTCTTTTTCAGTGGTGTCTTTACCTGGTTTTGGTAGCAGGGTAATGCTGGCCTCATAGACTGAATTTGAGAGTTCTCCTTCCTGTCCTATTTTTTGGAGCAGTTTGAGAAGAACAGGTATTAACTCTTCTTTAAACGTTTGGTAGAGCTCACCTGTGAAGCCTTCTGGTCCTGGACTTTCGTTCGCCGGGTGTTTTGTGATTACTGATTCAATTTCTTTGCTGGTAATTGGAATGTTCAAAATTTTTTATTTTTTCCTGCTTCAGTTTTGGTAGTTTGTATGTTTCTAGTGATTTATCCATTTCTTCTAGGTTGTCCAATTTTTTTGGCTGTTGGTTTTCATAATATTGTTATAATCCTTTATATTTCTGTGCCGTTGGTTATTTTTCCTCTCTCGCTTGTGATTTTATTTGCCAACAACCCCCCCTCACCCCCCCTCACACGCCATTCCTGCTCTTTGGTGAGTCTGGTTTCTTAATTTTATTCATCTTTGTAAAGAACCAGCTCCTGGTTTCATTGATCTGTTCTACTGTTTTTTAAGTTTTAGAACATTTGTTTCTGCTCTAATCTTTATTATTTGCTTCCTTCTGCTGGGTTTGAGTTTTGTTTATTCTTCTTCTCCTAGTTCCTTTAGCTGTAAGGTTAGGTTGTTTGAGACTTTTCTAGATTCTGGGGTCAGCCTGTGTTGCTATAAACCTCCCTCTTAGAGCCACTTTGCTGCATCCCAAAGCAGGTTATAATTTTTAAACATGAATCATGCTTTTGATGTCATATCTAAAAAAATCTCTGCCCAACACGTGATTACACAGATTTTCTCCTATGTTTTGGTTTAGTAGTCTGATAGTTTTAGGTCTTACAGGTAGGTCTATGATTTATTTTGAGCAATTTTTGTTTATAGCACGAGGAATGGATGGAGATGAACTTTTTCGGCATATGTTTATCTAACTGTTAAGATCTCACTTGTTGAAAAGACGGTTTCTCCGAGCAATTACCTCTGCATCTCTAGTGAAGTCTCACTGGCCGTGAGTGTGCAGGTCTGTTTTTGGACTCTGTTCTGTACCACTGAGTTTCCGTGTCCCTCCCGTGGCCAGCACTACCTTGTCTTCTCACTGTGGCTTCAGAGTGAGTCTTGAAATGATGTAGTCTGAGTCTTCCAACTTTGTTCTTTCTCAGAATTGTTTTGGATATTTTAGGTCCTCTGGGGTTTCCATGAGAATTTTAGAATCAACTGATTTCCACAGATGGGCTGGTGGCAGCCCTGCTGGGTAGCTTGGCCCTAATGCTGCCAGCGGGAGCCTGACCCGGCACACATGTGTTGAAAAAGAACCTGACGTTAGCAAAGAAGAAAGGCAGCAGGAATACGGTGCCTGAACCTTGAAGAGACTCACGTGCGGGGAGACGTGGCCCCGGGGATGCTGCCCCCCCAGTTCCCACATGTGACGGGGGCAGTGGGTCTGTGACTTGAGGTGTATTCATGGAAGGAGGTGACACACAGCAGTGTCAGCAACGGGACTGCTTGGGGCTCTGTGTCTACGCGGCTGAAACGGAGAGATCCTGCCGTTTCTGGGTGTGTGTTGAATGAAACGTACAGGGAGGCAGGGAGGTGATGGAAGGCACCCTGACAGTGGGCCCTGGGATGTTCTGCCTCTTCCAGTTTGCGGGCCCAGGGCTGGGGGCGCTGCTGCCTATTGCTGGGCTCTTCTGTGAACTGGCCGCACATGTCGTACGCACTCTGCACATATAGTAGAGCTCGGGGTGGCCCTGGGCGGCCCGGTGTCCCCATGACCTGGTCAGCAGAGCCTCCGGGTCTCCCTCCCTGCCCTCCCCTGCCCTCCAGCCAGCTGCCGCACCCCGGGGACAGGGCTCCTCACTGTCCCAACAAGGACCCCTAAGGGCCACGAGGAAGGCAAGCCTGCTGTGACCAGCCTGGTGGCCCAAGGCTGGGATTTCCTTTAACTATTATGTTAGCTTAACTATGACTGCAAATGCCCATCCACTCCATCCACTCCATAGCCAGTATTTACTTGAACATATAGATATATTCTACTTTACTACTGTTTGACATCGAAGCCCTAGAAACATACCACACAGGCCAGCCCTCTGGAACGTGGGGTCGTCAGAGCCCCCCAGGAGGCCGGCAGGTGCTCGGCGTGCTCCCGTAACGCGGTCCCCGCCCCCCCAGAGGTGCCCCACTCACCTGCGGGGCGCCCTTCTTCCTGCTCCTTGCCGCCCAGCTTCCCAGACTCCTTCTGGCTTGTTACGTCTACGGTAGGGGACTCGTTGCCCTCAATCTGTTGCTCAGAGATGCTGGTGGTGATTTTATCGTAAATACCTTTGTCTTCATACGTGAACAGACTGCTCTGAAAAGAGAACATGACACTTTTGCTGGCATTTTCCCAGTTGCCTTTCCCACTCAACCTCCCAGAGCCCCGCTGTCGGGAGGGCCACATGGAGAGCCTAGCCGTGGTCCCCTCATTAGCGCCCGCTCTGTCCCGAGCCAGACACCCAGACCACAGGGGCGCCTCGCCCGGGGGCTCAGGGTTGGCCGCCGCCTCACTCGTCTCTGGCCCAGGCTGGCCGCTCCCTGTTCCCTGCGGACATGGACACTCAGTCGTGGGCTCTGCCGTGTGCTGGGCCCCGGCCTGCGGCTCGCTGCACCGCCTGCCCTCCCCTCCTGGGACGCCGGGCTCCCCACTCCGCTGGCTTCAGCTCAGATGCCACAGGCCAGAGACCTGGCCCCGCCCGCACCCCCGCCTCACCCACCACTGGGCCCTGCTCTGCGTTCACACGCCCCGCCCCTCCCCCTTTGCCCCCACCCACTGGTCCTGTCCCTCCCCAGGGGAGACGCCTCCAGGGTCTCTCCTGCGACCCCTTAAAGAGCGGACTGGACTGCAAAGGAGCTCAGTGCTTCCTGTGGGAAGCTCCTCACACCTGTCCTCACCCCTACACCCCGGAAAGACCTCCCAGTGTCCACTGGCTGTGACCCAAGTTGCCTCCACAGATGGGGTCCCACCTGTGTCGCCCTGAGGCTCTTTCCATTCAGTCAGCGGCTCACCTGCCAGCCCCCATGAGAAGACCGCGGCTCGCCTCGTCCCGTGGGCTGGCACTCGGCAGGTGCCGCAGGACAAAGGTGGGTGCCCCGTGGCTCTGGGCCGCTGCCCTGCACCTGCAGGCGGCTCCAGGTGTCCTCACGGGGACCAGTCTCTCCCACTTTGCCTGACGATGGCACCCCTGCTCCCTCTCCTCCTCCAGCCCTGCACCGACAGACTCCCTCCCCTCACCACCAGCTCTACGCGGCCAGGACCGTGTCGTGGGGGGGGGGGGGGCGGCGTCACACCGGCGCCTGGCTGAGTAGCCACAGCACCCGACCGGGAGCGGGCCACACACTCACTAGCTTCATGGCCGACTGGGAGATGTCCATCTCACAGGACTCTGATGCTCGAAGGAACCTGAACTTGGTGCCCAAGCCCCCGGTGTTGGTCAGCGTGATGGTCCGGGACGTGGTCTCACCCACCACGTAGCTGCCAAAGTCGATGAGCTCCTTGTCAAGGGACAGCTGTCAAGAGACCAGGGGTGAGTCAGGGAGGCCGCCGGGCCGCGGCCAGCTCTCCCCTCCCTCCTGCGGCCCTGCGGGGCCTTGGGATCCGCGTCGGGGGCTGCATCTGACTCCAGGAGGGGCCTCTGCACACCCCAGGGACGGGTCCACACCCTAGAAATCACAGCCTTAAAGACTGATCATGATGACTCGGGAGCTCTTGAGTCCAATTTTTAAACTGTCAAGTCTCCTACGAAGAAAGACTCCCGAGCCCTGGAAAGACGGAGGAGACCCACGTGCGCATCACTAAGGCCTGAAGGGCACACACGGCCTGATTCCAACTGTGCGGCAGCAGGGAGAGCAGTGGATGCCAGTGCTTTGTGGGGAGGGAGGGGAGCACAGAGGAGCCGGGGGGTCAGACTGCTCCGTGTGACCCCAGTGGTGACGCGCATCATTACAGCTTCATCCAAACCACCCAGGGCACAGCAGTGAGTGACCCTTCATCGAACAGGCACCCTGGGAGATGATGCCATGTCAATGTCCTTCATCCGCGGCCACACATGGCTCTTGGAGGGAAGGCTGATGGTGGGGGCAGGGGCACCATCTCGTGTGGTCAGTTAGATGAAGCGCCTGATGACGTTGAGTCGGAAAAGGTGGGGAGCTGGGCAGCTCCGGGGGGGCGGGGTCTGCGGGCCGAGGCGCCCAGGGCGTGGGCAGCAGGTGCGGGTGAGCGAGGGCAGAGGCTGGCCAGGGCGTGGGCGGAGGGCCGACCGCCAGCAGCGGCGGGCACACCTGTGTGACGCCGCCGTCTCACGCCCTGTCCGAACGAGGAGCCGCGCTCCCCCCAGGCTGGCTCGGGGGGTGTGGGGTCCCTGAGCGATGTCTAGGAAGAACGGAAGTGCTCGCGGAGAGAAGCGCTGGGTACCGTGTAACCGTGAGCCTGAGGGACAGGGAGCCACTGAAACTGCTTTCAAGTGAGGACAGGAAAAACGTGAGCAGTGACCGAAAGCTGTATTTGATCCCGATCCAAAGAGTGAAAGCAATCAGTGATTTTATAGATTCACGAACGAGGAAGAGATCAATGTCTCTCACACGTCCACATCCCCGTGGACATCGGGCCTCCCAGAGAGCACAGCCGGGCCGGAAGGCGGCGGCGAAGACGCATCACAGTGACAAGCCAGGCGGTGAAGGTCGCGCCACAGTGTGAGGCTGGGGCAGCGCGCCTCAGTGGGCTGCAGCCAGACCCGCCGCGCGGCCCTCAGGCCACCCCCCCCCCCAAGTCCCCTCGTGAGATAAACTCTGGACAGATCCCAGCGGAGGACATTCTACCCAGTAACCGACCGGCACTCCTCCAGACCGTCCAGGGCCTCAGGAAAGAGAAAGTCCCAGAAACTGCCAAACAGTCGCAAGGACCCTGCGGCAAAACAGCAGCACAAGGAACGTGCCGCACGGGGTGGGACGCCAGCACAGGGCCTGGACGTTTGGTAACATCCCAGGGAATTTGAATAACGTGTCTTCTCCAGCAGATATTAATCATAACGTGTCAATATTGGCTAATAATTTAATAAACGTGCAGCACTGACATAAGATGGTCCTGGGGACCCTGGGTGGGGAGTCAGCCAGAATTGCATTTTTTGTGTTAATGCTGAAGCCGTTCTAAAAAATAAAGTCCTTTAAGAATAAGCCGAGCCAGGACGGCCCTCACTGGGGACTCAGGAGGGCTGGGTCAGAGGGTCTGGGAAGGCGGCCGCTGTCCCTGAGAGATCGACCTGGGGCAGGCACGGCCCCAGGGCACAGCTCCCCTAACCCCTATGGGCACGGGCACCTTGGCCATCTGGGCACTGGCCAAGCGTGTCGTGTGCAGCCCACCTTCCTGTGCGGCTCTTCTGGGTGCCGATCTTGGATGCCCAGGGCACCCCCCCCGCCCCCCGTCCTCTGCGCGCCTGCAGGGCCAGAGGCTGCTGAGGCAGACAGACGGGTTTCCCAGAGACCAGACACAGAGCAGCCTGTGTGCACACGTGGGTGTGCACGTGTGTGTGTCTGAGTGTGGATGTGCGAGCGGGCGTGTTCATGCATTTGGGGGTGTGTGAATATGAACGTACGTGTATTCGTGTGTGGTGGGCCAGGTGGCAAGTGACTGCTCCCCTGGTTGTAGGTCACCAGACCTCCAGGAGATGGGAGGGTGGCCGCTCCCACAGCTGCAGGCAGGGCCGGTGTGTTCTGAGCATGGGAGTGACAGGCAATGACATGTGACATTGTGTGGCTGGCGGGCAGCACTGCGGGGCGTTCTCCCTTCCTCCTGTGCACAACGGAGCCCCTGAACATCAGCGGGACACACAGCTGCCCTGGGAAGATTCTACCACCCAGCCTGCCTTGCAGCCAGGGGTCACCATGCAACTGTCACTTCTAGCCAGTGCAGGGGACCTGGTAGGGGAGGGATGGCGCCTTGGAAGACATTTGTGGGGGTGGCAGGGCAGCCCAGACCCTTGCGTCTGAGGCAGAGATGAGTCCTTGCTTAGGGCACCTTTGTCACGGGCCACGGCGCACGGGCTGTGTGTTTACAGGGCACAGGGCCGCTGCAGCCACGGCTGGGTGACGTGCGTGCCGAGAACGGAGACCACACGATCGGAGCATGTGGAGTACACACAACCCATGAATCCACAAGGAAACAGGAAAAAAGAGAAGCTAACTGGCCACCACTGGGAGCAATATTTGTTCCAACCCCTCCTTACACCGCACACAGCGAAGGAGAGAGAAGCGGGGGAGAACCACACTGTGCACGGAAAACAGCATCAGCGGCCTTCCCCGCGGAGCCCCGGACAGAGGAAGCACAGCGCCCCCCGAAGAGCCGTCCCCCCACCGAGGAAGGGGTTGCGGGGAGCGGCCGTGCTCAGTGGGGAGGTGGCAGTCCCTGTCGGGCTCGGGTACAAGATGCAGTGACCTGCTTCCACGTCACTGGGATATCTGTCACCCGGAGACCTGTCACCTGGAGATCCGTCACCTGGAGACCTATCGCTGGGGCATCTGTCACCGGGGGACCTGTCAGCCAGAGACTGGTCTTGGCGGCAGCACCAGTGCAGGCAGGAAGAAAGACTCAGAGGCTTGGGGACAGTTCAATGGGGGTGTCGAGTCTGAAGGAAGGTGGGCAGGGCCTACGGGACCACGTGTGGACCAGCGTCCCATTACGGGGGTCCGGAAGCGGGAGAAGAGGAATGTGGCCCCAAACTCCCAAGGGGATAGAAACATCAAAGAAGCCCTGTAAACTCCAAGTAAGACGACCCGAAGAGACCCACGCCGAGACACATCGTGGTCAAGCCGCTGAGAGACAGAGAGACTCCCGAGAGCCGCAGGGGAGAAGCGAGCAGGTGTACGAGGCCGGAGGGCAGGGGGCAGGCGGATACAGAGGGTGAAAAGGAAAAATCTGTCAACCAAAACCCTTCTCCAGCCACAGTGCCCTTCAAAAGTGGGGGGAACCACGACGTCCCCGGTGAGCGCCGCCTGGGCACTCAGCCCTGCAGGAGGCGCTGTGGGGCCCGGCACGCGGGACAGGAGCGCGAAGCCATAAGGGGAAGCGGCCTCCATGGAGGCGGGTGCAGGGGTGCTGCCGGGGCTGGCGTGGTTGTGACGATGGTCTGTAACCGTGCTCTGTTTCCCACATGACTGCACTTTCTTTTTTTAAAGCAGGTATTAGTCTAGAAGCTGACGTTATTATCATTTTGGTTTGTAACTCCACATCTTGCTCTAAGAGACTAACACATTTCAAACGTTATTAGTATGTGGTCTTGGACACACAGTCACAAAGATGCAATTCTGTGACATTAACAACCGAAGGCGGTGGGGACCGAGCTGTAAAGGCGCAGACGCCTTGCAGGCTCCTGAACTGGAGCTGCTATAAATCCAGACTGCAGTGCTTTAACTTCAGGAAGTTAAATGTAATCGCTTGGTAACCACAAGGAAAATAGCTACAGCACGTACACAAAAGGAAACAAGAAAGGAACTTAAACATCTCACTATAAAAAAATCAACTGTAACACAAAAGAAGACAGCCATGCAGGAAACGAGGGACACGGGAAAACACGGGGCCACGTGATGGAAGCAGGTTGGCCGCACGCTGCGGCGGGGACGGCTCCTGAGGACATGTGCTAAGTCACATAAGCCTGTCACAAAGGACAAATACCACGTGATTCCTCTTACATAAGGCACTTAGAGCTTTCAAATCCCTGGAGACCAGGGTGGGGAGGAGGTGCCCGGGGCGAGGAGGGGGCACGCGACCGAGCCTGGGTTTCCGGAAGGTGGGAGAGTGCCGGAAAGGATGGTGGCTGTGCCTGCCGTTGTGAATGTATTTAATTTACTGAAGTGCGGACCCACACACGGCTGAGACGGTTCACCCTATGCTGCGTGTGCTTTACTACGATGACGACGGAGAAGAGAGAAGGGGATGACTTACGACGCCGTCGTCACATGCAGGGCGCGGTCCCGCTGCAGCCCGGCTGACAGGACGGAAGCCGCAGGCGGCGGATCGGGGTGGCTGGTGCAGGCGGATGTGGATGGGGCGGGCGGCGCTCACGTTCCCGGGGAGAATTCCAGACCACTGCTGCCCCGTCCACTCCCTCCTGGGGCGCCGCCCTCCCGTGCTGCTCAGGACAGTGGGCATCTCTGGGCCCCACTGACAGAGGGCGGTGCCAGGTGACTCGCTTTAGTCAGCATCGTTAGGGGACAGGAGTGGTTGCGCATGTGCTCGTGTGGCTGGCCTGCACTCCCTGCAATACAGTCACTGTCAGTGAGAAGCTCCTGCTGGGAAGCCGTGGCCCTGCTCACCCGCAGCCTGGAGCCAGCCGCCCAGCGGAGCCCGGCCTGGGCAGCCAAACCACAGTCGCCTGCGTATCTGTGACTGTGAGACAGGATGCTCGTGGCCGCAGTAAGCCGCTACATGTGGGAGGTTTTGTTCCGCAGCGCGGCCGCAGTAAGCGCGGACCTGTTCGCTCGGGAGAGGCGAGGATGTGGCGGTTTCTGCATTAGAACCTCCCTCTTTGTTTGAGATGCGTGTGGAGGTTTTGCAAAGCTGCTGCATCGAGTGTCATGCTAGTGCTGCTTTCCCTGGAAATGGGTCAGCAAGACAGACTGACAGACAGACAGATGAGGCAAATGTGGTGAATGTCGACAGATGGGATCCAGGCAGCGCACGGTGTTCACTGTGCTGTTTCCTGCGATTCCTTATGTTTGAAATTTTCTTAATTAAACAAGAATCAGTGGCTACAGCAGTCACCGCAGTGACCGCCAGGTGGCGGAAGTGTGCGGTCACTGGGTTGCGCGGGCTGCACTAATTTGACGCTGCCTGTCAACTCTACTTCAATAGTAAAAATTTAAAAATTAATTATAAAGTTTTAAGAAGAAACGGTTCTGCACAGCAAAAGCAAATAAAGTGAAGAGGCACTTACGGTATGGGAGAAAATATTTGCAATCCAAAATATATAAAGACACACAACTCAATAGCAAAACACTAAGCAATTCGATTAAAATGGGCAGAGAGGGGCGTCTGGGGGGCTTAGTCTGTTGAGTGTTTGACCCTTATTTTGGCTCAGGTCATGATCTCACGGTTTGTGAGTTCAAGCCCCACATCAGGCTCTGTGCTGACAGCTCGGAGTCTGGTTGGGATTCTCCCGCTCTCTGCCCTTTCCCTGGTCATGCACACATGCACTCTCTCTCAAAATAAATAAGTAAACTTTTAAAAAATGTTTTATTTATTTCTAAGAGAGAGAGAGAGAGAGAGAGACAGCGTGAGCAGGGGAGGGTCAGAGAGAGAGGGAGAGACAGAATCTGAAGCAGCTCCAGGCTCTGAGCCGTCAGCACAGAGCCCGACGCGGGGCTCAAACCCACAAACCGCGAGGTCATGACCTGAGCTGAAGTTGGACACTTAACCGACTGAGCCCCCCACGTGCAAAGTGGGCATGAGGTATCTGGGGGGCTCAGTCAGTTGGGCGTCCGACTTCAGCTCAGGTCGTGATCTCACGGGCCCCGCGTTGGGCTCTGTGCTGACAGCTCAGAGCCTGGAGCTGCTTCAGGTTCCGTGTCCCCTTCTTGCCCTGCCCCTCCCCCACTCGTTCTCTCTCTCAAGAATAAACATTTTAAAAAATTGAAAAAAAAACTGGACAGAGGATCTGAATAGACATTTCTCCGAAGAAGACATCCAGACGGTGACAGGTACATGGAAGGGAACCCTGCATCCCTCTCATCAGGGAAACACAGTCACAGCCACGAGGCACGACCACCTCACGCGTGCCGGACTGGCTTCAATCAACAGCACAGGAAACAGCAGGTGTTGGGGAGGATGCGGAGAAAGAGGAACGCTGCGCACCGTTGGTGGGAGTGCAGACTGGTGCGGCCGCCCTGGAGAGCAGTGTGGAGGCTCCTCTAAAACTAAAAATAGAACTACCCTAGACCCGGCCACCACACCCCTGACGATACATCCAAAGGATCTGAAGCCACTAACTGGACCCCCACTATCTGCACCCCCATATTCACGGTAACATTATTCACAGTAACCAACCAGTGAGGACCGCCTAGGTGTCTTTCAGGGGACGAACGGAAGAAGGCGGGGCGTGTATACAGTGGGATTAAAAAAAGGAAATCTTGCCATTTGTAACTGCAGGGACGGACCGTGAGGGCACTGCGCTAAGCGAGACGAGCCAGACAGAGAAAGCCAAATTCCGTGTGGCCTCACGAAGGTGTGGAATCAAGCCCATAGACACAGAGAGCAGAGTGGGGTTGGGGAGGCGGGGGAGAGGGTGTGGGTGAAATGGGGGAAGGGAGTCAAGGGGTACAAACTTCAGGTATCAGTTTTGGGGCATAACACACAGCACAGTGGCCGCAGTTTAGGAGAGGGATCGAGGGGACACCACAGAGCCGCCGCGGGGGCCAGCGACTCCTGAGATGGACCCGGAGGTCTCCCACCACCTGGGCTCCGCACAGTGTGGGACTCCCCCGCCTTCCCAGCGTCAGTGTGGGCGCCCACCCTCCCAGAACGGCCCACCGCTCCCATCTGCCCCCGGTGTGGCTTGGCCTGGGCTGAGCAGCTCGGCCCGGGGGCCCGGAGCCAGGACGCAGGGCGCAGGCCCCACCGGCTCAGGCATCGGAACCTACCGCACATTTCTTTGTGGAACACTTCAGCGGGACAGAAAAGCCGCCCGTCTGAGCCAGAAATGAGACGCTTCCTTCAAGATCCTTGTTTATCTAAAAAATAAAACACTCGACCACCATGATGTTTGCAACTCTGCCCAGGGACCCCTACAAGCGCGGGCCGGCCTGGCCGTCCGAACATTCCAGAAGGCCCCACTGAGACCGGGGCGCCAACAGACCCAGCTGCTGGTCAGGAGCCCCTAATCTGCCCGACAGCAGGAACGTGCCGGATGTGCGCGGAAGTGAAACGGCACCACAGGGGCCTACGTGACCCCTGCTGGGACCCGTGTGTCCTTCCTCCATCACCTGTGTCTGCAGAGACGCCGTTGTGCCCACCACCCGCCCACGACGGGTGAGAGCAATCCCTGCACAGCATCTGCTTTTAGAAGACACTCACCATGGGCTTGAAGGTGACGAGGACTTCGCAGGACATCCCGGCTGACATGGGACCAGGGGGGTCAAAGCTGTAGAGACAAGGGCCCGTGGGGCGCGTCCTCAGGTAGACGGGAAGGCACGGTCGGAGCCTCCCAGCAGCCCCTGCGCGGAGCCCTCCCCGCGCATCGTGGGTGCTGAGCCCTGGTGCCCAGGCCCTAGGAGACACTCGGGTGACATCTGAATGTGTGCAGAATGAGCGAGTGAATGGCGAGTGAGGTGCGTCCCCGGAGGGAACAGCTGTCACGGGGTGAGCAGCGGCCACGGCTCCCTGGGGACGGGCAGTGTCAGGCCTGGGACACCAGTGTGGGGGCTGGGAGGCAGCCGGGGGTGAGCACGGGGCCTGCACACAGGGGCTCCCTCTGAACCCCACTTTCAGTGAAGGAGCCAGGAAAAGAGCCCCCACTTCACAGGGAGACTAGAGGACAGTCTGTCTTGGTCTGGATCCTGGGTGAGGAAAAGAAGCTTCCAGAGAATTGCTAATGTGAGGCATGTTTTCACAAGGTTGGATTTTACCTAAGGTGCTTGGATTAGAAACATACAAGCTAAAAATGTAATTGTTTCCCCCTGGCTGGTAATAACCCCACGCAGCAGGCAGAAGAAATCCGAAACTTCTCTGGGTGGGAGGAAAGCCTTCTGATGCCACATCACAGAGACTCGGGGGGACAGAGCCCCCTGTGAGAAGAGGGAAATCCCAGGTTGGAAAGGATGCGTGTAAGCACACAACACGCAGGCGGATAGTAGGGCCAAACTGCAAGAGCCTCAGATAAGAGGATGGTTGAATGGAGACTTCAAAGATGTCATGTTAAAATTATCAAAGATGGAGGGGCGCCTGGGGTTCAGTCGGTTAAGCGTCTGACTTCGGCTCAGGTCATGATCTCGCGGTTCGTGGGTTCGAGCCCCGCGTCGGGCTCTGTGCTGACAGCTCAGAGCCTGGAGCTGCTTCGGATTCTGTGTCTCCCTCTCTCTCTGGCCCTCCCTGCTCACGCTGTCTCTCCCTCTCTCTCTCCCAGAAATAAATAAAAACTTTAAAAACAATTTTTTTAAATGATCAAAGATGGAGGGGCACCTGGGGCTCAGTCAGTTCAGCGTCTGACTTTAGCTCAGGTCATGCTCTCACAGTTCATGGGTTTGAGCCCTGTGTCGGGCTCTGTGCTGACAGCTCAGAGCCTGGAGCTGCTTCAGAGTCTGTGTCTCCCTCTCTCTCTGCTCCTCCCCCGCTTATGCTCTGTCTCTTGAAAAAAAATAAACATTAAAAAAATAAAAGAAATAAAATGATCAAAGATGGAATTTGAGAATCACAGAGGTAAGAAAGGAGCAGGACGCTGTCGAGAAGCCGCGGAGGCAGAACGCGGGCTTATGGCAGTAAGTATGGCCGTGAAATCCGAGGCCGTTGGGCACACGAAGAGAGAAGGGCCACCAGTGTCAGACTCGAGAAAACACGCAAGCACGCGCTGCAGGGCCAAGGACAGGGTGGGGCTGAGACACGTGCCCACTTGTTCGTGGGTCTGAATCCTCCGTGAGCCCTGAGCCCGTCCAAAATCAACCCGCAGCTGACACACCGAGGCGCAGCGGGACCCTGGGGACTAGGGAGCCCGAAGGCAGCCGCGCGAGGGAAGCCGGGCAGCCGGCCCAGGGCTGTGTCTTCAGGCCGGAAGCCGACCTCCCAGCGGCAGCCCTGGAGGCCGGTACACACAGGGTGATAATCTCCATGGGGGGAGGGGATTAGCCGCCAATCAGACCCCAGCCCCAGGCCTCGGGAGGGGTGTTTCAGGATGCTGGGGGGGTGCTGATACCCCGAGTCCGGGCCGCAAGTCCCCCAGAGGCCCGCAGACCAACACGAAGAGCCAGCAGACCCCAAGTAAATCCCGTGCCTCTGGCGTGAACGCAGGACGGGGTAGCTGGCGAGGAACAGGCCGCGTGGCCGCGCTCGGCCCACGCGCCTTTCAGGTTCGCTGGCGGAAAGAGAGGAGGGGAGCGGACATCGCTCGTCTGAGCCACAAGCAGCCCCCGGAAGAGAACAGCGTGTCCCTGGGTCCACGAGCACAGGTCCTGGGGAGAGGCGGTGGGGACAGGAGGTGGGGAGCCATCGGGGGCCATTTCAGGCCTCCAGACCCTTCCACAAAAGGCAGGCAGAAACCAGAAGAAACTTTCCTAAAGCGGAAGACAAGGCGCTACGGGGCAGGAGGAGACAGCACAGCCGGCGCGGCAAGAGACAGAACACAAGAAAAACGGGGAAAGAATAAGGCAGGAGACAAGCAGGTACTCAAGGGGCCGGGAGGAAACGGCAGAGGGGACCGCTTGTCACGCAGCAGCGGGGCCTCGAGGAAGGAAACAGAAACATGGCGAAGGGCTTCACAGCAAAACACTGACCGGGAAGGGAAGTCATCGCGCACACCTGGGCTGGTCTCGGGCCACGTCAGCCGCCAGACCATGCGCCACACGGGCATGAAGGCCATGGCACCCCCCGCCCCCCGCGCTCCCCGCGTCTCACTCTATGTGGATGAAGTCCTTGAGCTGCTCCTCCACACCCAGCAGCCTGCAGTAGTTGATGGTGTAGGTGGCATTGATCAGTGTGATCTTTTTCTTGTACACTTTGCCAACATCGAAGTCCTGGAAAGGTCAGAGGAGTCATTCCAAGCCTGTCGCAGGGAAGGCGCCGCGGGAAGCGCCTGGCAGCCTCTCACGTGCCCCCAGATGGCCAGCGTGTGAGTGAGGAAGGTCTCGGTGATGAGTGGACGAGCCTCCTGATAAGAGGCCAGGAACAATTCCTAAGGTTTCCTGACTCAAGAAGGGCTCCCCTGGGGACGATGGAGAGTAGGGACAGGGGGGCAGGGACCTCGGACGGTGTGGGCTCCGGGGCTGGCGCCCCATGTCGTCTGAAGGACTAGGGCCCGAGTGGCATCCCAGGAGCGCACCAGTCCCCTCCCCTGCAGGCTGGCGGCTGTGACTGCGTGCTAGCACCGACCTCCTCACTCTCCCTCTCCAGGGAGGCTGTCCCCCGGGACGGGTCCCCTCCTGGGGCTGGTGTCTGACCCCGCCCTCCTCACCTTGAAGTGAATGAGCTCCGGCTTGCTATTGAAGGGGCGGCCTTTGAACTCGCGCCCGGAGGCCACCTGCCTGTGGGTCACCCTGCTGCGCAGCTGCTCCATGGTGCGAGCCAGGATGTCCTTGTCCATCTTCGTCCCGCCCGCGGGCTTCCTGTCCTCCTCCTCTTTGGGCACCTGGGCTCCCACAGAAGCAGCGGCCGCGCTCAAGGGCAAGCGCAGGCCCAGTGGAGCGATCGGCGGGGCCTCAGAAGTGAGCGGCCCAGAGCGGCCAGGGCAGGGGGAGCGTGACTCCCGGGCAGGCCCCTCAGAGAGCCCTGGCGCCGGGGGGAGGCTGGAGGGCCTCCCTTCAGAGGAGACGGAGAGGTGGACGAGCAGGGCCCATTCGTTGGATTTAGGGGAAGTAACGGCAGAGGGTGGTTTCCCAGATTTTTAAATCAGGCCAAGAGAAAGGTTTGAAATGTGTGACAGGAGTGATATTTTCTCAAGCGGCACAAACAAAGGAACCTCCCCGAGGGACCTGAGTGACCGGGGAAGGGGCTCTGTCTGTGACCTTGGCTCCAGGTCAGCTGGCGTCGGGGCCGCCATCCAACTTCTCCGACCTGAGGGCAGGTAGCGCTTACCTGGTGCGGCTTGTAGTCTTCCTTCCACAGCCCGGGGATCTCCGGCTCGGCCAGCGTGTCATCTTCCCAGATGACGTTCCCGGGGTCCCCCTGGACGGACTCACAGGAGACGGCTCCCAGTAACTGAGAGGCTCTGGGGTATGGGACCCCTTCGGTGTCCTGCTGTCGGGGAAAGGAATTCACAGCTCATCACAGGAGACAGGGACTCGACGGATCCGCGAGGGAAGGACGGAACCCCCATCACAAGCCCCTTGGGCACGTGGCTGCGGACAGCCTGGCTCCTCCCCGGGCTCGTCTTCTCTTACCTGGAGGCTAGAACACAATCTGTTTTGTAACTTTTTCCCATTTCAAATAAAAGTATTTTAGACATCATTACATCTTTTCTCCAATACTCGTGAGCCCACAAAATATGGGTTTTGGAACTACTACAATTCTCTTTACCGATCCTCAGTTTCATGTTATTTCTAACTTTTGCCTATATGAACCACGCCCTGGGAAGGCCCTCCATCCGGAGGTCGCTGGTCCAGGGACTGGGCTCCAGTGAGGAAGGTGAGGGTCTCCCTTCAGGGAACATCAGACATAGATGGAAGGAGACGTGGGGGAGATGTGGCCACGTGTGGAAAGTTCCTGGGAAGCAGACAGGGTGTCACCACGGACACAGGACACTTAGTGTGGACACTCCAGGGTGGGCCAGGGAGGAGGGGGCAGGTGTAACCCCCTGGAGGGGGGGACTCTTCGGGGGCGGGGCTGGGGCGTGGGCGGGGCTAGGGAGCCTGCAGACCCTGGAAACACCTGGGAAGAGAGGGGAGACCCCACAGAGGCCTGCAGAAGCCAGCGACCTGCACCTTCAGGTTTCGGGGGGCATGGGGGGCAGAAGTGGGAGTGAACTGGGCTCAGGAGGGGGTCCTCCTCACCCCGAGGGACAGGTACACAGGCCACCAGCCCCGGGGTTGGGGGGGCCGGCCTAGAGTCGGCTGTCAGTAGGATGATGCGCAAATGGGTGAGTGAGTGCAGGACACAGAAACGGCTGGTCTCTGGGGTGCTGAGAGCATTTGGCGTCAGGGTGGTGACAGCCATGTGCACAATACCCCTGTGGCCCAGGACTGGCCTCCGGTCACTGCCTGCCTTCTCGTCTAGGCACAGGTAAGGTGGCCTGAGCCAATCTCGTTGCAGGGGACGCCGCGGCTTCAGGATTCCGCACCTGCAGTGCTGTGGGTGAGGCACCAGAGACCTGGGTCTCAGTCCCTTGTACCTGCTCCGTCACCTGGGAACGGACAGCTCCCAGGTGGACGCCAGGTGACCCGCCAGCCGGCCTGCTGCAGAGAGGAGCCGTGGGGGAAATCAGAACATGTGCACCTGCCCCCCCCGCCCCGTCCAAGGAGGAAGCCGGAAGACATTCTGGAGCAGGACACTTAGTTTCCGCTGTGGATCTTAGCCCAAGAGGTTCACACAGTGACTCCAGGGCCCAACGACGTCCCTGGACACGTGTGCCCGGCCCTCAGATCATCCACCTGCTCCCCTGCAGAGGCGTGCAGGTGACCGGACAGGGGCTCTGACTCACCAGCAGGTTACAGGGAGGGGCCGCCTCGTCCCTATCCTCGCAGACTTCCGAGATGTAGCCCCACGTTTTATCCCTCAGAGTCAACCGGCTCGTGGCTTTGGTGGGAGAAGACGGTTTCTTCTTCCTGTTTGCTTCCTCCACCTCCTCTTTCAGAATCCGAGCTACGATCTCCTGCTTCCTGAGCTTCTGCTGTTCCTCGAAGGTGCTGTGGGGAAACACCGTGTGGGCCCAGGGAGGGCGAGCCACGAGCTGCCTTTGGGGGCCCTTGCCCCAGGAGGTGCCCCTCCACTGGGCTGTTAGGAGCTGAGTCTGGCCTGACCCCCTGGCTCCCAAGGGAGCAGACGGATGAGGCCCAGGAGGGCTGCCAGGCCGGAGACCCAGAACTCGAAATTCTTGCCCAGCCCTGGAGCCCGTGGGGTGTGTCTCGTGCTTCAGGCTTCCAGGCTGGCAGCTGGGCTCCCACCAAGGTACAGACCAAGGCCTCACTAGGGTTTGAGGCCATTCACTTGCTCGCTCATTCATTCCTTCACTCATTCATTCCTTTGCTCGTTCATTCCTTCGCTCATTCATTCATTCACTCATTCCAGCTGCTGCTTGCTGGCTCTTTCTATGTGCTGGGCCTGCGCCCAATGAAGGCCCTTGGTGGAGCTGCCCCTGGGAGCCCCTAGCAGGACAGGCTGGTGGCAGAGCCCCTATGGTGACGGCCAGGGCACTGTGACTCCCTGGCAAGAGATGCCGTCGCCAGGGAGAGGACCAGGAGACCGCACCTGGGTACTCCCTAATAGTGCCTACAGAGGGGTGTGGGGGCAGGAGGCAGGGCAGAGTGAGGCCTGGGGAGCTGTGTACTGGGAACTTGCAGGGCTGAGGGGGGTCTCGGGGTGAATGACGAGGGTGCAGGACACACTGAGAAGGCAGCACCGAGTGCCTGTTTGGAGGAATCAGAAAGCCGAGCCCACAAGGGCGTTAAGGGTGAGCCCAGGCTGCCCATGGCCCCCCATAGAGGGGCCTGGAGAGCAGGGAGACGCAGAGAGTGAGCTGCTTCGGGGGTTGGGGCAGCTCTGGAGAAACCAGGAAGCCAGGCCAGGAGCCTGAGGGGGGCCACAGAGGTGATGGGGGCCGAAGGGTCTATGCTCCGAGGCCCGTGGGAGGCTCCACCTGTTGGGGAGTGGGGAGTGGGGTGTGGAGGGAGGGCTGGAGGCCCCATCCGGGGGACGAGCCCAGGGAGGGAAGCAGCTTGGTCAACTGTGAGGGGCAGGCCTCCCTCGGCCCAGGTGGGCACCTCCCCTGGGAAGCCACCTCGCACTCACCGCTTCTGGGCTTCCAGCTCCTGGCGCCGGCGTTGATGGAAAAGGTGCTTGAAAGCGTCCCCCCCTTGGGCCAGAATCATCTCCTTCTCGGCCTGGGCCTTGTGTTCAGCCAGCTCTGCTCTGGCCTGGCCCCATGCTTGAAATTTCCGGAGTGTTTCCTTGGGAATAGAGAAAAGTGAGGTTATACCATTGGCACGCGCACACGCGTGTGCACACAGACGCACATGCACGACAGCCTTCTGGTGAGCAGGCGACGTGAACTCAGCTCTGAGATGCCCGAGTACATGTGTGCAGAGCCCCGCCCACCCTGCCTTAGAAGCCTCAGGGGCTTCCCGAGACCTGAGCTGGCCGTCATCCAGGGCCCCGCAGGACTGGCTGCTCGCCTCTGCCCCCTTGCCACCCTGGGCTCTCCTCCAGGAGGCCTGCTCACTCTTGTCTCTGAGCCTCTGCAAATGCTGTTCCCCTCTCCACTCTCCAGGCCTAACTGCCATGCCCTTGGGCCCTAGAGAGATGTCATTTCCTCCAGCAGGATCCCGGACCCCTGCACACGGCCTCGCGAAGCCCTGGTCCCCCGGGAGCCCTGCCACGGCTCCTCCCGCGGACCAGGCCTGTGCGGAGTTCTTCCTGCCCGGTGAGGCCCTGGCTGGTGCCAGCATGGACCCCGGGGCAAGAGACCTGTGGGCGAGGCTCCGTGACCCCCAGGGAGAGACCGAGTGGAGAGTCTGAGGACGTGGGAGCCCCGTCGGGCAGGACGGCGGGACGACAGGGCAGGGCAGGCCGAGCGGCGTGTGGCTGGACCCCCGGCTGGAAGCACACGCGCCTGCCCGGCGGGCTCCTGGAGGGTCGCGTGGGGCCCGGGGGGCGTCGCGCGGTCCCTCCTGGATTGCGACGCGCTCTGAGGGCAAGGGCGGAGGAGGTCGCCTACCCTGTTGGCAGTGATGCTGTTCTTCAGGGCCAGCACGGCGTCCATGCGCCTCTTCATGTGCTCGCGGGACGCCAGCTCCTCTTCCCTCTGCTGCTCGCGGATCCTGGAGGAAGGCACGTCCTTAACCACAAGTACGGGGGGTACGTCGACTTGCGGTGACAGAACCCCATGGTGGTCACGTCCGTCAAGGAAATACGTGAACGTGACCACATTAAAGGCGCACGGGAAGTGCTATGTTGAACTTCAATCACTAGGAAACACTGACACAGGTTTTTCTGGACCAGAGGCCCCAGGCCACTCACCGCAGGTCCTTTTCTGAAAATAAGCAGGAAATCAGCTCAAAACTAAAAATACAGCTTTATTATTTTCGGACAGTAAGATAATGAATTAATACTAAAACTGGGGGCTTGTAAAACAAAACAAAGGACTCTTGTATCTCTCATATCTCTCCTCCAGGGTATCAGGAGGGAGAGTCTGAAAGCGCTACCTTCCCAGGGAAGCCTTCAGGAACTTCACCGCGATCTTGTGATTCTTCCTGGCATCTTCCAGCAGCTTCTGGTGCCTGAGCCCGTGCTCCTTCTGGAGGCACATGGCCTTCCTGCGGTGGTGGGGACAGACACATGGCGCACTGGCTCTTGAGGGAACAGGTGTCCCCGAGAGCCAGGCTGGCAGCACCCGTGCACCTGTGCCCGGGGCCCTGCGGGTGTCCAGGGGATGGGGTGCGCAGGGGGAGGGGCAGGGAGGACCCGCCGGGCTGGGACTCTGGGCGGGGCTCGGGCGGGACCACGGACAGACAAGGGCCAGCACCCCAGCGGGTCCACCACCCACCTGACCCGCAGCAGCCGGGTCCTCTCTGCCTTCTTCAAGGCCCCCTCCTCCCGGTGCAGCTGCTTGGCCGCGTGCGCCCTCAGGCCCTTCCTGGTGGCCGCCTCCTCCTCTTGGGCGGACTTGTGGACGTCCTCGAGCTGTCCCTTCTGGATCTCAATGTGCCACATGGCGCTCCTTCAAACAAGAAGCACTTTTGTTTATGTTGGCAGAGACCCTGGAGACCTGGGCCGTAGCCTCCAAGGAGCGTCCATTCCAGGGCGTGTGGGAGGGCCTGGACATGAAGTTTGCACAAACACCACTGAAGGCGGCTCCTCCTCCTGGAAGCCCTCTGGGCCTGCAGTTGCTGGAGAGCAAGGCTTGCCCCTCACCCACAGCACTATAGGCCAAGGTCCGACTTGAACCCGGACCTGCACTTCCTGAGTGTCCACGGGCACCCATCTGCACCTGCCCCCGCCTCGCCCGGCCTGAGGACCAGTGTGGCACTCTGAAATAGGCCGGGACATGGGTGGGAGATGCTGCCTTTGCAAGAGGCTCCCGTGGCACTGGGGCACTGCAGCGAGGGGCAGGGCTGGGGGGCAGCACGGGCACGGAGGGGAGGTGGGCTGCTGCCGTACGAGCAGCAGATCGGGGGTGCCTGGGCACAGACAGGCCGTGGAGGACGGATTACTGGCTCCCTAGGCCTGAAAACGATGGCAGCTTCACTAAAGTCTCACTTTCTCTGAATAACCAGAGATGCTGCCAGCCTAGAGGAGGGGGAGGGCGCGGGCCCAGGAAGGAGGGCGGGTCTGGGGGCCGGACGAGGCAGGAAAGAGGTTCTCTCTAGGAAAGAACGCAGCCCTGCCAGCCCCTTAGTTGTAGCCCAGTGACGTCTGTGTGGGCATCGACCTTGGGGGCGTGAGGTCCCTGGGTGCTGCCTGCCGCAGGGCCGGAGGGAACGCTAGAGAAGGCTCTCGGGCAGGGCCCCTGCCGCGGTCACCCTGTGCCGGGCGTGGCTGCCTGCGGTGTGAGCAAAGCCTGCCCTGCCCGGCCCTGCCCTCTGGCCTTGCTGCTGGACCTGGGTGAGACGGAAGCTCGAATCCAGGGACACAGGGACCGTGTGACGGGGGCCACCCGTCACGAACTCCATGTTTTGCTGACCGTCGGCTCCCCATTATCATGAGGACAGAGGCGCCCTGGACATTTGTTCTAGTCACTGCCGAGTCCCAAATGCTCAGAACGGAGTGTGGCACCCAGCGGGTCCTCAGCCACTGTTTGTTGAGTGAGCGCCAGGCACTACCTGAGCCTCTGAGCCACAGAGCCAGGCGTCCTGGCCGCGCGCGGTGCACACGAGGCCCCTGGAGGGGCTGCCTGGGCGTCCCTGGGTCACGGAGCTTCTGCCCAGCACGTGGTGGGCAGCGACCACCAGGAGAGCCTGGAGGCGCATCACCCCTGGGGGCAGAGTCCCAGGGCTGCGGGGCCGGGGGCACCGCCTGTGGGGGCGCAGATCTGCAGAGACCGTGGTGCCGCTGAGGTGTGGCTGGTGGCCCAGAGGTGGTGGCGGAGCCGCGGGAAGAGTCAGGTGGCTAGACTTCCCAGGATGGGTCTAGGGCGTGAGGACATTAGGACCCCACTTGTCGATGATGCCTACAGGCGCCTCACAACCCAGACCCGCAGCTCCGGGGCTGCACTGGCCTCAACTCCGGCAGCGGCAGGGAGCGGGCCCAGCCCCTCCGCTGAGCGCCCCTCAGGACCTAGGCCGTCTCTGACCGCGGCGGACACGGCCATCTGTGCTCCTGGGAACCGTCACTTCCTCTGAACCCGGGGCTCCCTTCTTCACCTGTGGCCTTGTCACTGCGGGGATTCTCTGAAGGGGTACAGTCGCTCAGCTCATCGTGCATCACCGTGATGCCCACACGATGACGTCATTTTACAGCCGAAAGCGCCGAGGCCGAGGAGCACTCGGTTCAGCACCTGCCGGGGGCCTCTCGTGGCCAGCAGCTGGTGTTCTGGGGAAGGGCCTACCTGAGACTCGGTAGGAGGCGGCCAGGCCCCCAGATGAGTGCGCATGACCCCACGCCCTGCACGCACACCCCTGAGCAGGCTGTGCCACCCCCCCGCCCCCCCGTCTCGGGGTCGATCCAACTGTGGCAGAAGTGATGGTACGTCACTCCTGAGAGGACGCTGGGGCTCCGAGGGAGCTGGCGGGGCCCCTACGACAACGTCGTGACTGACATCTCAACTGTAACCTCCCGGGAGGTCTGGAGCCGGAGCCCAGCCACAGGTTCCCGACCACCCAGGAAGGGGCGGTAATGTCGTGTCGAACCCCGGATGCGCCCAGGCTCCCGCTATGTAAAAATGTGGATGTGGGGTCGCCTGGGTGGCTCAGTTGGTTGAGCGTCTAACTCCTCACTTTGGCTCAGGTCATCTCAGGATTGTGGGATCGAGGCCCATGGGGGTCTCTGCGCTGAGCATGGAGCCTAAGATCCTCTCCTCCCTCTGCCCCCTTCTCCTGCTCGCTCTCTCTCTAAAGTAAGGTAATTAAAAAAAAACCCTCGGATGCACCCCAACTTCCAGCACACACAAGAACACAGATGTAACTGAGAATTGTGTGTGGAGCAGAGAAACCAGGCCCTTGGGGTAAACAGGGTAAGGTTCTGCACATTTAAAACATTTTCTTAAATGTTTATTTTTGAGAGCAGGAGAGGGGCAGAGAGACAGAATCCCAAGCAGGCTCCACACTGTGAATCAAGTCGGTCACTCAACCGACTGAGCCACCAGGTGCTTCTCCACCCTGAGCACCTTAATAGACAGGGACAGGGCTCGTCGTGGTCGCCTGGGGCGGGACCACTGGCTGAGGAGATGAACCAAGGAACGTTTGCGATACGTTTTCTCATGTGTAAATCAGACTTAGGTAAAGCTGATTAACAAGGAAGCCATGACAGTTTGGCAGCAGCCAGGCCAGCGGGAGCCGTGGCAGGCGGGCAGGCCGCTGGGGTCCGGCCACAGGAGGAGGGGCCCGGAGGTGGCCGCTGAAGGGTCAGCAGACTGGCTGCATGTGGGCACTGAGGAAACCAGTGGCGAGAGGCAGGCTGGTCACTGCCACAGAAAGGGGGTGCAGGCTTGGGGGGAGGGGGGGCAGGCCTGCAGTTCTGTCAGAACTGGTTTCAAGACGGAGACAGAGACGTGCAGATTTGCTGTCCCTGCCTGCTGCCAGGGCCTGGGAGTGGCAAGGGCCTGGCGGCCACGGGCATCACCAGCACCCGGCTCTAGATTTCCAGGTACCGTTCCTCACGGCTACAAACCAGGCTGGGTCTGGAGCTGGGGCAGGGGAATGAATCAGGGGGGCGTGGAACGTGTCCTGGTGCCAGAAAGCACTCAAAGAGGGACAGGGACAGGGACCTGTCAAAAGGCACAGGAACCATCCTGCAAGAGGCCCCGCTCGCCAAACTTGGGGGGACTGGAGGGCCAAGCTGCTGAATAAAACAGAAACTGAAGCGTCCACTTCTGTAAAGAAATGGATGTGGAGAAGAGAAAGTTCTTCACGGCAGAAAGCTGCCCGCCCCCCCCCGCCCCGGGAAGGAACGCGGCCTTAGATCGTCTCTGGGGCCATCACCACCATCGTGACTGGCCCAGGCACGGAACGTCAGTGAACTCAGACACCAGTGCCCGACAGGGGGCAGGGATGGGACTTCCCAGAGCCTCTGAGTGTCCAGCACACGTTACCGATTAATTTCCAAAGGAAAAGGTGCAACCCCGTGTCGAGAACCCTGGCAGGCATCACCTCTACCCAGCCACCAAAGTGCCCCCGGCGGAACTGGGACCTGTCACCATCGTGCGCTTCGTCGAGGACGTGGCATCACAGGGGGGTCGTTCTAGCCAACAGTCACAAGGGAGCACCACGCAAAGACCACTTAAGGGGCCTTTACTCGCCCATAATCTTCAAAATGTCAAGGTCATGGGTGTCATGGAAGGATGAGGGGTCATCCCAGCTGGAGACGGGACGACCCCACGCGCCCCCAAGTGGGACCCTCTTGCTGTAAAGGATGTCACTAGACGGCTGGGGCCAAGGGGGACCTGGGCGGGGGGAATATGCTGTTTTTGCAATTCTTCTTAAGTTTGTTTCAAAATTTTAAAGTCGTTGTTGTTTAAAGTGAATGGATCACAGCGATCTGACCAAGGCGGGGCCACCAGGGGTTTTGCGGCTCCAGTAAAGACCGCTGCCCAGCTGGGCGCTGGCTGGTGAGACCCCGCCTTGTGGCAGCTGTCAAGCAAGGGCCGGGCCACCTTCCCGTCTCCCCACGAGATCCTAGGCTGGCCTGTGCCTCCTTACGGGAGGGCTGGGTTAGAGCTGATTCCTGCCCCCATCCCCGTTGAGTCCCCGTTGGGGGGCAGCAGGGGGCAGCTGTTGTTCCTCCAGTAGTGGGCGGCCCGCCGCCAAAGCCCTGTCCTGTCCCTCTGAGAGTCAGAGGCCGCCTGGCCAGCGTCCGGGGGAGGGGCCGCTGCGGGGGGTGCAGTGCACGAGGGACACCAGGGAGCTGACCCCCTCCCAAATCCCTGTTTTGCTGCAGCTAGAGGCAGTGCTGAGATTCCTAACCCAACCTCTGGCCTATTGAATATTTAAGACAATGCACCAGTGTCCTTTCTGGGGATGCTTCTAGAAAGGCTGTGAAACACTGTTTAAGCATGGTGCTGGTGGTTCTCTGGGAGCACAAAGCAGGAAAGAGGGGAAAGGAAAAGAAGCAGATGTCATAGTTCTCAAAAACGCAAACAAACACGGAGGATGTGGGAAACATTTCAAAAAACGTGAAGTCTTATCCTTTCAATGAGTCAATGATTTCATTTAACCCGTCCAACTTCTAGGCAGCTTAAAAGTCGGGTGCAAACTCCAAGGGCTGCGTCCTGCCTTCAAGCAGGAAGGGCCCGCCCCTCCCTCCCGACTCACTCGCTCTCCTGCAGCATGGCCGTGAGTTTGGACTGCAGGTCTCTCTCGTTGTCCAGCTCTGTGCACAGGCGTCTGGACACCGCCTGGAGGCGCCCCACGGCGGCACTGTTGAGGCACAGGGGCAGGGGGCAGGGGAGGTGGGGAGGCGGCATCAGCCTGGCTCCCAGAGAAAGCCCCCAGCGCCCACCGTCCCCGTGATGCCTTCAGCTGGTCTCTTCATTTTCAAGGCAGAAATCAGTCTACACCGGCCGGCGGGGAAGGCCTCCACGAGGGGCTGCTCCTGTGTCTGCTTCTGGCTGCTGGGCCAGGCACAGAACTCGCTAGAGCACCTGCCTGGCCGCACCAGTGCCCGCTTCCCTCCCCGAGCCAGGCAGCCGGTTCCCCTGGTTCTGGCCTGTCGGGGCTGCAGGCCCATTCAGATCCGGGAAGGATCCAGCACACTTGCCCGACTGGAAGCAGCCAGGTGGCCAAAAAGCCCCTGGGAGACTCCGGGTTCCGAGCCCTCTCGCTGCCTCCCTCTTCCACCCTGGAGCTGTGGCCGGCTCAGTGCACTGCCCTGTCACCCGACCGCCCAGGGATGTTCTGAAGTAATCACAGGGCTGCTGGGATGAACGGGGTGGCCGGTGGGGCTGCGTGGGGACAGCCTCGGGTGACACTGACCTCAGCACCGGGTGTGTGGACACCACGGATCAGGACCCCACACGTGTACGGTTGGGGAGTGGGTTTTGAGTAGCTGGTGTGGCCCTCATTTCTCGACACCCAGCCTGCTGTGTCCCACAGAATCGGGCAGATGTTCAAGTCCCACCAAGGGCCGGGGCTGCTCGGTGAGCTGTCCGCCCCGGGACCCCCAGGACTCCAGCCTCCAGCAGCCAGGAGCCCCTGTGCCCTCCTGGGGCCAGTGGGGCCCAGCACTCATCCCTTCTTGGCAGCAAGTGGGGCAGCTACGTTCGGACACCGGCTCAGAGCGCTGGGACCAAAGTCCCCCTGCGTCCCTGCTCAGCAGGGTGGCCCTGGGCAGCTCACTGAGTGTCCCTGAGTCCCTCAAAGACTGCTCTGAAACCGGTGGGGCCTGAGGTGCAGGGACGCCACCCGGCTCACATGTGGGCACCAGTCGCAGGCTCGTCCACGTGAGGGGGCCACGCAGGCCTCTGAGCCCCTGCCTGCCCTGCCCCCTCATCTCGGTAGTGGCACCACCTGGCTGGTTGTTCACGGCAAAGCCAGTCCTGATGTTCCTCCCTAAGCCCGCTGCTGTACCCGCACTGTCCCCACGGAGCGGCCCCTCTCTTTGGGTGCTGCTGGGGCTTTGCACATCCTCACCCCCAGAATGTTCTTTCCTGGTCACTGCAGGCGAGTTGGTTTTCTCTCAGGTCCCATCCTGTAGGTAACTCCTCAGGGGGCCTCCCTGCCTCAAAGTGACCCCCTCTCCTGGCCTCACGGCCACCAGCTCCCTTGTCCTTGTGACCACCTGTCTCTGTTTCCATGCTGGGGTGTGTCTGTTCCCCACATCGGAGGGCGGAGTGCGCTTCCTCACGCCCTGAAGGCAGCGGGTGTCAGGAGCGATGATGACTGGGGTGACTGGGTGCCCTCTGCTGCTGCACCGGGGGCCCCACCGCCCGCCCCGCTCGGCGCCCGGGGCGCACAACCTACGTGTTGCTGGCCTCTCTCCCTGCAGCCACCTCGGCCGCCACGCTCGCCTGCTGTTTGGTGATGAGATCCAGCCTCTGGCGGCAAGCGCGCAGCTCTCCTCTGCAAGGGAGTCCGAATCCGGGTCAATGTTTCTCTGGAATCCAGTCTCCCCGCCGGCTCTTCCCCAGGAGCCTTGGACTGAACCCCATCTTCACGGAAGGACAGCGGGGCTCCGGGCAGGTTGAGGTCCAGGCCCTCATAGACCGTGCCGGCATCTCGCTCCAGCTCCCCTTGCCCAGGCCAGGATCCCGGTCGTCTGTCCCCCTCACCCAGGGCCCTGGTTGTCTGTCCCCCCCCACCCACAGGGGCTGAAGTGACATCATCTTTCCCGGGATTGCTCTCACACAGTCAAGCTGCGTGATCAGGGTCTTGAACATCTGTTTCCTGAAAGCCCCGCAGAGGGGCCACCTGTGTGACCTCAGCCCAAGTGAGAGTTCACAGGAACGGCGCACGTGAATGCGCCCAGGCGTGTAAGGGCACCGGCGAGAGGCCTGGGAGGGCCCCCCGCAGGGCGCACAGCTGCAGCACCCCGTCAGCGTTCTAGAACTCGCAGACCCCACAGGACAAGTGACCAGTGTGTGGGCCTGGATTGAATCCCGATTCAAAACGCTAGTTCCTGTGATAGAAACAACAGAAGCAAACCCGGAGCGCCGGCTCTGAGCCACGTGTGCGGGAAGCTGCGCTTGGGGGGGGGTGCTCACTTCCTCAGAGGGAGGACCGGTGCGGAGGGTGGAGCAGGTTTTTACGTGCGTGGGGGACAGGAATGCAGGAGCGACAGCTGCCATCGCTGTCAGGCAGTTCAGCGGGAAGAAATCACGGGCACACCCCCCGCAGGCGAAGGTCCGCAGTGGCACGTGGTCATAGCTGGAGCCTCGTGTTTTCCACTTTCCCGTGTTTGACCTTTTCTCCACAGGGTTTGGGGGACACGCTCTACCACTGGAACCGCCGGTCAAGCCGCAGGGACCAGGGGGCAGGGCACCAGCGAGGCCCCGGCCCAGCAGGACCAAGGCGGGCACCCTCCGCACGCTTTACGGGACAGCCCGGGGGGGGGGCGGCGGGGGGGCCTGTCCATGAGGCCGGCTCGGAGGTCACCAGGGTCAGAGGGCGGGCAGACCCTCCGGAACGCTGGTCGCCCGCCCCGGCCCCGCTCCCCGTGGCCGCACCCACCTGGTTTCCTGAATGAAAAGCTCTTTCTCTTCCTGCAGCTTCCGCAGGCGGCCCAAGGTCTTCCGCAGGCGGCAGGCCTGGAACCTGTCGGCGACGGCTGCTTCCTTCCTACTTTTACCGGCGGCCGCGTTCTCCGGGCTTAGGGCAGAAGGACAGCGGCCGCCCTCGCACGGTGACTGGCCCCCGCCCGCCTCCACCCTTCCGCCGCGGATGCCCAGGCTGAGGTGCGGGGAGCCAGGGGCCCGACCCAGATCAGTTACCTGCGGCGGCCGCATCCCGAGTCGGCGCCCGTCTCGGCTTCCGGAGGGAGAACTTCAACCTCAAACTCTGGATCCTCTAGTTCATCTCTTTCTAGAAGTCCAGGCAAGAGGAAAAACAAAAAGCAAATGTAGACGTTCAAGTCTGAAGCACCGGGATAAATCGAGACAAGCTCACGCCTACAGGCAACCGTGCTGATGGCCCTAGAGCAATGGTTCTCAAAGTGTGGCCCAGGGAACCCTGGCAGGAGTGCAGTCCAACTATTTTGCCTGTAACACGGAAACATCATTTGTCCTTTTCACTCTCATTTCACAAGTGCAGAATGGAGTTTTCCAAAGTTTTCCGCTATACGCGTGACGTATAATATCACAACAGACCAGCACAGATGTGCGTACGGGAATCCAGCTGTCTTCTGATAAACATATAACAGGTTGTTTTGCTATTTTCACTGAATAAATATAAAAACATTGTCAGCTAATACACTAAATATTAAAAAATATAACCAATATAGGGGTGTATGGGCAGCTCAGTCGTGCTTGAAGAACTTCAAGAGAACACAGAAGTCAAAAGGGTCCTACTGGCCACATTTAGAACAAATTGAGCATCAAAATAAACGGTATGGGGCCCCCCGGGTGGCTCAATTGGTTCAACATCCGACTTAGGCTCAAGTCATGATCTCTCTGTTTGTGAGTTCAAGCCCTGCACCGAGCTTCATGCTGACCGCCCAGAGCCTGGAGCCTGCTTCGCACTCTGTGTCTCCCTCTCTCTCTGCCCTCCCCCCTCGTGTTTTGTTTCTTTCTTTCAAACATAAACAAACAGTAAAAATTTAAAAAAAAATAGTAACCAACATAAAAGCACTTTCAGGTTGCAATAGTTTTTACGAATGTAGAGGGGTTCTCTGACGAAAATGTTTGATAAATATTATCTTAAAGAATCACTGTAGACTTTTATTATTGAGACAGAAAGAAACAGAGCATGAGTGGGGGAAGCGTAGAGAGAGGGAGTCACAGAATCCTAAGCAGACTCCAGGCTCTGAGCTGTCAGCATGGGGCCTGATGCGGGGCTTGAACCCATGAACGTGAGATCATGACCTGATCCGAAGTCGGATGCTTAACCGACTGAGCCACCCAGGCGCCCCTCTAGAATCACTGTAGACTTTGAGGCAAACATGGCCAATCAAACTATCTCTAGCCCTTCATTAAATCTCCGTGCAAATGACTAGAAAGGAATTCAACAAGGCATCATTGAAAATCACAAGGAGTACAGGAAGGAAGAGAGTAGACCAAAAAAGCCTATACATTTGGGAAGATGGAAAGGTGGGGCCTAATTTATTTCACCACATCCCTCCACAGCTCACCTCACCTCACCTGCCACACCTCACCTCACCGCACCTCACC